CGTTATCACGAATATCGGAACACGCGTACACACGATTTTTTTTTATTAGCCAAACATCGAACAGACCATCGTCGTGAGAATAGAAAAAAGACAGACAGAGAGAGAGAGAGAGAGAGAGGGGGGGGAGGGAGAAAGAGAGGGAGAGAGAGGGAGGGGGAGAGAGAGAGAGATAAGCGGCTGCGACGTCGTCGATGACAGCGTTAACGTTGACTTATACCGGATTTACAGTCGATGTACGGTCGACTGGGTCGGTGTCAAGTCGAGTATACTCGACTGACCAGTGTCAACGCTTTTAGTCGGGTTAATTTTAGTCTAATATTAGTCGGCTAAGCTCCTCACAGCGATTACTACGCTGTAAACTAAGCATATGACCTGGTTGCAGTTTATTTGAAAAAAAAAAAAAAAAAGAACGACCATCGGCGGCATTGTGTGTGTCCCCATTCGGTCGTTCAAACTCGCCGGGACGAGCAACGCGACGACGCGTGCCATTTTCTCCGTCTTCTCCTTCTTTTTGCTCCCTTTCTCACCCTTTTTTCTTCTCCACTTTTATGACATCGACGATTGACGGAGATCGAAATCGCGCCGTGCCGCGTCGCGTCGCGTCGCATCGCGTCATCGATCATCGATCGCACGATGACAAACTACGACGAGGAGGATGGGCGCGATAGAGCGAGAGAGAAAGAGAAAGAGAGAGAGAGAGAGAGAGAGAGAGAGAGAGAGGGAGAGAGAGAAAGAGAGACGCGCGATTCCTTCGCGCGTGGATTTACTTTTCATTGACCAACTTTCTAATGAGTGATACGAACTATACGCGCGCGCGCGATACATACACACACTCGCGAGTGCGAGCACAAAGTCACAAAGCTGCTGCAAGAATAATGAGCTAAAAACAACCCCACGCGCACTCTGACATTTTCTAAAATACATCCGCCGGATCCTCGGATTTGTGATCTCGCCGTCGCCGTCGTAAGCGAGACTCAATAAAAATCCAAAATGTCGCTCTCTCTCTCTCTCTCTCTCTCTCTCTCTCTCTCTCTTTTTCGTTCTTTTCTCTCGCGTTACACGCGATCAGCGCGAGGCGAGGCGAGGGTGTATCTCGACGATCGCGCGTGATTCGCGCGCTCGGGGGCGCGCTTAAGAGGCGTGAAGTAAATCGAAACCGTAAAGTACGTTCGCGTGCCGTTTCCTCTTTTTACGGCGCGCGCGCGCGCGTCGCTTTTACCGAGGTCGTCGAAATGCAAATGCTACACTAGAGGCGGGGCCGGCTCTAAGGAAACAATAATGGATTTCGCCGACTAATCCGAATTTAATGGTCAGCCTAGAAGGATACGTAGGGTAGAGGTAGGGCGAGCGAGAGACGATTAATATCGGAAGCGACACGGGAAACGAGATCGATAGCGCGCTCGCCGCTACGCGCCAATTAAACTATACCGTATTACAGCGTTCTAACGAGACGCATCGTCGGCCGCATTAATTCGCCGGGAATTGGGATCAAGCGGCATCATCGTGGACCATCGACGGCGCGACCCTTAATTACCCGTGCGCAAACCCCGAAGCGATCGTAAAAAAGGACGCGTCGGGTGTGCTTCTTTCCGCCCCGAGGCGGCCGCCGATATAACGAGCGCTCTCTCGTACCGTGCAAAATAAATTCGCCGCTAGACACTGCGGCTGGGATCAACTTCGATTTGACCTTCGTGCCGTCGAGATTAAGTCGAATAAACACGAGATCATGAACAAGTAGGAAACAAGGGAAAGAAAATTCGACGGACGCGCTCCGGGGCGTGTGGTTGAGTTCCTCGGCGCGGTGAAATTATTGCCCCACTCTCCGCGCTAATTTCCCAAACACCCCGGAGGGGGGGCGGGGGGATATTACACGCGCGTAATATTCTGTCTCACTCCACGAGACCGACAATTGCGTGATCAGACGCGGCATTCTTCAACAGGTCACGAGTACTCGTTTTTTTTTATTTTTTTTTTTTCGCCGATCGAGGCGCGTGTTCCGTAACGGATTGCGGGACGTTACGTAATATTTAACGGTACCGTCGGATACCGCCTGAGTAATTAATTATGCGAATCGTGGTCGCCGTCGTCGCCGCTGCCGGTCGGTGTCGATAGCACTGGAGGAATCGTCGCGAGCAGAATGAATGCCCTCGCTCTCGACGGGAGAGAGAACTTTGCTCGAGGCTGAGAGAAGCCGACGGGTACAGTTTAGCGAACTTTCGCGAGAGATACCGCCGCCAAATAATCGATACCGAAGCCGCCGCTATTCGCCGATACGATTGGCTCCGCCGATGTGAGCGCAGAATAGCATTGAATTTGAAGGCGAAGAAAGGCCGCGTCGTGCGCTCCCAATATTTTAAGATTATCGACTTTAAAGCTGCCCATTCACGATCGCGAGCGCCGTAATCCGATATTCCGCGCCGTTCATTCATCCACGCAGCGAGTTCGTTAAATTTTTACCGCTCACACGGCGGTCGTGGGAAAGTGATTCGTCGCGCTAATTGCGTACCGCCGAGGTACGTCTCTGAAAATTCTGGGACATGTGAAGAAAGAAAACAGCCGAAAACGACTGCGCGCACAGGGAGCATGCAAATGTGTGATTGTTGCCTTCTTCTTTCGTCTCTCTCTCTCTCTCTCTCTCTCTCTCTCTCTCTCTCTCTCTCTCTCTCTCTCTCTCTCTCTCTCTCGCTCCCTCTTTCATGACCGAAAGAGTTTGCCTGGAACCATCAGAAGTTCAGACTCGATACTGTACGAACATCTCGTCGACAAGGTCCAATACGAGTCTGCTTTAGTCATATGAAATACAGTACTGGCGACCGTCTTCACCCCCTGACTACCTAACTATTACTATTACTTTATTAGTCTATCATTATTTATACTAATATTTTTTTTTATCGTTCCATTACTTGTTTATACTCACCTTGCATATTCTTTTAGCTGATGTAAAACTCCAAAATTTGTTGCATCATTTTTCACTTCCTTGCGATTGAGGCGACACTGTCCCAGAGTGCTCAATAAATAACGCTTTCTCTCTCTCTCTCTCTCTCTCTCTCTCTCTCTCTCTCTCTCTCTCGCTCCCTCTTTCATGACCGAAATATCTCAAAATTTCGCTACGCGGATATCACACGGCGTTGCGTTAATTCCCCGCACATCCGGAGGATAAACGCGCCGTTTCCCCTCTGTGATCCAGAGCGGAGATGTTACGACAGGTAAACAAAAAGGAAACGCAGCAAGGGAGGCAACGTAAACACACAGACGATACAGCCGCTCGGTCAAGTTTTTCAGTCGTAGCGTGCCTCCTCCGCTTGATCTCGCGCGATAGCGCCGATGCGACGCGATAAGACGCGAGGAGACGTAACGATTGTGTTCGCCACGTAGAGGGAGAGAAAGGAGGAAGAGGGAGAGAAAGAGAGAGAGAGAGAGAGAGAGAGAGAGAGAGAGAGAGAGAGAGAGAGAGACGCGTCTCGCTCGTTTTCAATTTAGTGGAGTCGCGCGCGCTCGCGTGCTCCCTGCAAAAGAGAAATAACGGAGCGAGGCAGGAAAAACAACACGTGCTTCCGAACGACAATCTTCCCCGGCCGGAAGCGGTCGCCTCGTCGCGATCGGCTACGTATCGGGCTCTTTACGTCGCTTGAACACGTAGTTTTGCCTTATTCAGTGTTTCGCGGAGCGCGCGCGTGCACGTGAAGCGCTCGCCTGGCAAGCGGCCAGCAAAAACCGAGCCTGCTGCTCGAACCGACTGGACTTATTTTCACGGCGAAGCTTCGGTAACGTCCGCGGTTTACGGACCGAAAATAACGCCGACCGTATAAACATTGGCGAGTTATAATCGATGCGGAATATCGATCGACGCCGGTACCTGGCCGCCGCTGGAGAGAGAGAGAGAGAGAGAAAGAGAGAGAGAGAGAGAGAGAGAGAGAGAGAGAGAGAGAGAGAGAGAGAGAGAGAGAGAGAGAGAGAGAGAGAGAGAGAGAGAGAGAGAGAGAGAGAGAGAGGGAGAACGAATACTCCTTCAGCGCTTTCCAGAGAGCGAGAGAAAAAGAGGGACAGAGGAAACACACCGAGAGATTGATCGATCACACGAAATTTATTCCGTCCCGGGAATATACACACACACACACATTTAATCGTACCCGAAGATAAACCAAAGTTTAACGAGCGTGACGCGGCGCGTTGGCGGGTACGTTGTGTGTTTGCCGCGCGGAGATTGATTCGGAGCACGTCTATGTCTTGGCGTGAACGAAAGGACGAGGGGGGGAGAGAGAAAGAGAGAGAGAGAGGGGCGGGAGAGAAATCGGAAGCGAGTTGTCAGTCGTCCCCACGAAAAAAGGTAGAGACTTTTAACCAGCGACATGCTTGATATCGAAACGCGGGCGATTTAATCCGATCTCTCTCCTCCAGATCCAGGCCAGATCGATCGTCCGTCGTCCACGTGAATCCGTACGATCTCACGTACGAGCCGAGAAATCTTTGCAAATAGCGAATTAAGGAATAATTAGGAATTAGAGAGCGAGAGAGAGAGAGAGGGAGTCGCGTGTGAGAGAATCGACGAGAATCGACCGTGAATCGACGGAAGACTCGAAATATCGCGTCTCAAAGAGGCTTATAGGAAAGGACATAGAAAGAGCAGAAGAATTCTGGTAGAAAGAAAGAGAGAAAGGAAGGGGAAGAGAGAGAGAGAGAGAGAGAGAGAGAAAATTTCGCGCGTCAACTTTCGGAGCGGTGGCTGTTTGTAAACATTTTTCCTCGGTGAAGTGATAAACGTGACGAGATGCGGCGACGGCGGCGGCGACGACGACGACGGTGGTGGTGTCGACCGGGTGAACTACCGGAGGAAGAACGGGGAAAACAGCCGGAAGAAGGGAGGGGCAGGCAGGAAACGGGGAGAGGTTGTCTCCGTCCGTCCGTCGGCCGTCGCCACGAGCGTTCGTTTCCTCCGTATCGAACCGCAGGCAGAAATCGCACGCACAACAACGGCGATGAGGACAAGTGCGCGAACTCACCTAGGATCCGGCAGGACGATCTTCTTGCTGGCGCGGGCGGCTGGCGTGCACTTGCTCTTCTCCATGGCCATCAGGTAGCTGACGTCGGCCAACACCGCCTCGAGATCCGCCATTTTCCTTGGTGGTCCTTTGAACGGTGGTCTCGATTTATGAGGAAGACGATTACCCCTTCGCCGCCGTCGTCGTCGTCGTCGTCGTCGTCGGCGCTGTTGTCCTCGTCCTCGTCGGCGAGCGGACTTCTCCCTTCACTCCCCTAGGTCTTCTTCTTCCTCGGTCTCTTCCTCCTCCTCCTCCTCCTCCTAATACGGCACCGGCTCCGGGTGCGACCTAGCACACAGCCGAGAGAGCCGTTTCGCTGCCACGGACACGGTGCTCCGCCGCCGTTCGCGGGTTGCCTCACTGCCGCATATTTTTAGCGTAACACGGCGACGGCGACGACGGCGGCGGCGAAGGTAACATTCCGTACGATCGAACGGCCGGCTGAGGGAACGCGCCTCCTCGTTCTCTAATTGATGACAGATCGGCGTGAAGGACGGACGGACGGACGAATGACCGTACGAACGTCGATCGACGTGCGAGCGATCGCGACACGACCGGAGCTTGCAGCAACAACGGCAGAGGTTATTGTCGCCGCGAGACAGCGCGATGCTCCGGAAGATGATGCTCGCTCTCTTGAGGTCTCGCACTCTCCTTGTCTCTTCTCCCGCGTCGTCTGGTCCTTTTATCTGTTTATCTCTATCTGTGCTTTCGTCTCTGTCCTTTCTGTCCTCTCTCTCTCTCTCTCTCTCTTTCTTTCTTCCTCTCGGGACGTCGCACAACGTTGTTCTTCTACTACTTTTTTCTTCTTCTTCTTCTTCGTGTTTCACAATATCGTCTCTCGCACGCACGGAATTGCGCGTCGCGACGAAGCTAGCCTTCCTCGCACTCGGCTCGCGCGAGCTCCCATTTTACGCGAAACGCCGCGACGCCGTTGCTCCTCTCATCACGCCCGTGTATCGAGTGATCAACGTTGCGCGTCGGCGTCGAAGTGGACTCCTGAAAGCGCAGACGATTGATAAGCGAACAATTTGATAGTCGTAGGCATGCAATCACTCTAGGTCGAGTCGGGATGGGACGGGACGAGACGCACGAAAATCTCGCGTTGCTTCGCGAGCACAGAGCAACAACACTGCAACTCGCCGACAACTCGCTCAGCCGCAAGCTCGCGACTACTCGCTCGCGACACTCACACTCACACTTCGTTCCGTACTGGCTCGCGCCCTGATTGGCCGCGGCGCCACTCGCGGATCCGCCGCGAAATATCATCGATAAAGTAGTCTCTCTGATTCGAATCTCCGCTGGATTAAAGACCGTCGGCAAAATAGAACGTCTCTTTTACCGTAACAAAAACTCGAGTGGTTCGAATCTCCGCTTGAGGATAAAGCGACGCTTCTGTAATTATACACATTTTTCCTCATTATATAAAATTTGTCCTTTTTAACTAAACTTTTTGCGCGGCTGCAAAAATTGCAGGTGAAAGTAAAGAGTTCTTTTCATAAAAAATGTAGTCAATTATTGCTTTTCTCCCTTTAAAGCTCAAAAGTTCATTCATTTTCTGGGCTAAATTTTGTGCAAGTAATTCAAGAATTGTTAATATATGCGAAATTTTAATTTCAAACTCGTAAATACTTTTTCCTTCGCGACTTTTAATTAAAGCAGTCATAATTGTGTCATAACTGGAAACTAAAAATTCCAGAAGGAACCTGTTTTCTCAATAGGATCTGTTATTGTGAACTGTAACATCACAAATTGGTTTCAAAGTGTGTATTATGAAAATGTAATTCATCTTTACTAAAATATTAGGATCATAATATAATTCAACCGTAAGTCGGATATTTCTCTACTTTTCAAGTAATATTACTCAACAATAATATTACTCACATCCACCTTCTATTATACAAAATATAGGTAAGATTCAATAATAAACTACCTCAACATTATTTTAAGTTACAGTCTTTTGAATCTTGCCTTTTTGTTTCACACATTATATTAGAATTGAAACATTTATTAATTCTTGCAAATAAATTATTAATTACATATAAGTACAACATACTTAATCGAACTTTAAGAGAAATATACAGTATACTAAAGCTGTAATGAATAATACAGAAAAATGTCTTGTACATAAATTTAAAGTTTAATGTACCATCATTTTCTGATATCAAACTGATCATTCATGAAAGATAAAAATAAACATTACATTTTAATAAACACGTGTTTTCATATTTTAATATTTTAGACAAACATCATTCTCTAGTAGTATTTCCTGCTATTATAGTTACAAGATTGAAGATCAAGTATAATTTTCTTCATTCAACATGATACATAGAAAATTTTGTATTAAATTTTCCAAAACAATCATATCTGTTGTATTCTCGGTTTTTTCGAACATTGTTCCAATACACAGTAATTATTTCACTAACCGAAAAATTACACACAAAAACTTACTTTTTTTTATCATCTTTAATTTACAGGATTTGTGACTATTTATAGTCTTTAAGCACTTTCAATTATAAATCTTAATCCTTTCCCTACTGTTAACAAATCTAGAACAATATTAACTTTGGCAATCCTACCTACTGTACTTTTTTCTTTTTAATTCGTATGTATATATTATATGGCAATCCCATATGGCCAGTAATCAAAATACCAATTATAAAATTGTAGCGTTATTTGGGGAATGTATTTTACTTAAATTGGAATTTGTCACGAGGCACATGGTATTTTTTTACTTATTATTTTTAAATTAATATTTAATAAGATAGCATGTGTGTATGTGTGTTCTAGAACTATACACATAATAGTTAACTTCGAGTTAGCACATTTTATTGTTACGAGAAAGGTATCGATTTGAATTATTGCATCTGAATTTTTATATTCACAGATATTTTTGAAGAATTATATGACCAGATGTATTTGCGGAAATAAATAAAATATAGTTAAAAATATAGTTAGGAATTATAATACACAATGACTATACAATTAATAAATAACGCAATAAGATAAAATTCATAGCGATTAATACATAAAAATATGTACTAGTCCAGTAAGGAGAGGATTACAGTGTAGATTTCTAAAATCACAGCAGACTTATTAAATACCACTCTATCAACTCGTAGACGAAACAAGTCCAAATTTGATCTAAGGTTAAAGGCTCGAATGTTCATCAGAATTGCCACAGAAAAGGGGAGAACATAATACAACATGGTGGTAGGCACCCCAGTAATTGGCAAAATGCTTATAAGTCTTCCATTTCTGGCCTATGATAACAATAGTGAATCATTATTGTTATTATTGTTATTAATATTAGTATTATTATTATTATTATCCATTTGTCTCACATACCCGTGTGTTTGATCCGACGTTTGAGTTTAACTAACATATTACAGAACACGATATATATCGCTTTAACTAGGCGCACGCTGTAATTACCATTATAAACTCTACAATAACATTCTAGTTATGTAATGAGAGTATGCGATGAGACATACGACGAGAAGGAAACAATTAACATATGTAGAAACAAAGGCCAAGGCAAGTGTTACCAATTGAGGCCAAAATTCTTCACTTGCACATAGCACCATCCTGTATGTATCAAGTTCCATTTCAAACGCATAAATTTCCTTAGATTATCAGCCCAGCACTGAAGGAACACGAGAACCTACTGTAAAATCTTTATATTGGGAGAAAACGCATATCTGAAAAGTTTCATACAATCAGTTTATTTCATTAATAAAATATTTGATTAAAGTCTTTGTAGCAGTAACAAACCTTATCTTTTAGTCGTTGACAAAGTTGTAGCGCGATAGTAAGCAGAACAAGAGCATCATTTAGCCATGGCACGCTGCATTCTGCCTGTTGTGTTTCATATTTAACACTGCCATGAGCATTCTCTAATTGATAAACTGCTAAGACCAGTTTGTAGCTTTGAATATAAAAACTAATGGCCAGATTCTCTGGGAGGTTCGGATTAAGAGATTTCTATAAGCAAAAATATTTAGAATACATGAGTAAGAGTGCCATTCTATTTATAATAGAACAAAATATAAAAGATACGTACCATATTTCGACTCTTAATAAGATCGTCCATTGGTTTCTTTCTAGGGACAATTAAACTGGTTCTGCTCCTTTGGAGACAACCCAAAATATTACCTAGAACATGCATGACTTCATCTGAAGTCTTAAAAAGGTAATGCCTGTCCACATTGTCTATATGGGCAATGGCTTGTTGCAAATGGTTAGCAGCATCTTGTATCTGTTGTAACTTCCATGGATGTTCGTTTTGAATACTTGTTCTCATATTTATGTTTTGTTGTCGCTGTACTTTAAAATTTACTTCCTACAAGCAGTAATAGCAGTGACAAAACATAAGTATAATCATATACTTTTATAAATACAACTGATTTCACTTATGATTTCAATAACATACTAAATATCTTACCGCATTTGTAATACTGTCGCCGGTGAGAACGGCAACACACTTGACTTGATCGTGTGCAGCCGCAAACACAAATCTGTCAGTTTTATTATGTTGATCATTACCGAAGAGTGTCAATGGAAATCGCTGAGCACACTCCTGTAAGCAAATAAATAATCAATATTAACATGCTTATGGATTGATCTCTAAAAACTCAACATAGGATAACGACACTATGATAATTTAATTATGCGCACTACATGGTTACACTTATTTTACATACAATATACATACTATTAATATATTTTTAAGCTGCGATAGCGAAGAGTGCACTTCCTCACGAAGCACCCACTCAAACTCCATTTGCTGAAAACAGAAGCAGCATCGCTAAGTTATCGACTCCAACATATACATGGAACACAACAAATATTCAGGTACCAAACAAACGTTCAAGCAAATGTCAAACGACCTGATGACAAGAGACGACTTAACCTCAAAATGCATCTTGTAAGAGGTCGAATTGGCAAACCCTAAACGTGATTCACGTTTAGTGATAGATAAGCAGCCAATATCTCGTGACAGATTACACAAGCCACACGATCCGAATGATTAGATAAATATTAGGTAAAGTAACTTACGAGATTGTGCGCCTCCTCCTTCTCGCAGTCCGCCATTTTTTTACTTGGCATCTGACTAGCAGCCGAATTGATTAGTGCCGCCATCTGCTTTCATGTATATAGAATTTCGCAGCTATGCACAAACGCATGCAAGTCCATCCAAGCATGTAAATTGGATTACTTCGTATAAATATCGATGGTCTTATATCTTAAGGCTGCGTTCCAATATTCACTTCCAGTACTGAAAATACATAGTTTCTGTCACGTATATTATAGATTTATAGTGCTGGCAGTGAATATCGGAACGCAGCCTAAGAAGCAGTTGCGACGTAAGTGACATTTGTGAGTTTTTCCGTTATCAAATACGATACATAACAGATATGCAATCGCATCCCCTCTCGTATCTCGAGAGGATAAATTTGTTTTGCTTCGTCATTTCCACTCTAGAAAGTAACAATTTGTGGTGTCGTACAGTCGTATTTATCTGTGAATTAAAGAGCAAGTACCGAAAATTATGGAAAATTGGCAGTCATGAATAGTATTATGTTACATAAATAACGTGTAATATCAGAGCGAACTTTACTTATTCATTTTCATTTTAGACGAAAAAGAAATCAAAATTTTCAAAAAAGAAAAAATTAAAGTTCAACTGTCAAAAATTATTTGTATGAGCTATTTTATTGTTAATCTGCGTTCTTGAAATATTCGACAATTCGATAGCATTGAAGGATAGAGTTATTTGAGAATCTGTGTTTTAAATACATGATAATGTTAGAAATTTGGATGCCGCTATTATTATAATCGAATTCTATAGTTGCGATTTTCGGCAACGACACAAATCGAGACTACGGCTGCGTTCCGATATTCATTGCCGGTACTGAAATTCTAGAGTATATGTGACATAAACTATAGATTTGCAGTGCTGACAGTGAACATTGGAACGCTGTTTAGCGGTCGAATGTGTTGAAGGTTTCAAAGTCCACGTTCGAAACACGAAAGACGGTGCAAATATAATATTCGGTTATTTGTTGCTGTCAATCATCGTAAAATTAGCAGCTGTCGCCTTAACCGGACCTGTCGCAAATAAATCAGTTGTAAGTACTTACGAATTTTATACGTTCTAATCATATTTTTAAGCAGGGTTAAAATTCAATGCTTCTCTTGATTATCGTTTAGCTGCATATATTATTTTTATTCATTTATTGAATAAATTCCATGCTTTATTTTCATTATATGCATGCATCTAATGAGTTAATTGTAGTAAATTAGTTTAATATCAATATATTTGACATGTATAGTGAATGTATAGTGAATGTGTTTACATGTGTGTGTGTGTGTGCGTGCATGCACACGCGCGCGTGTTATGTGTGATATCGAGATAAATTTACAATTCAAGGTAGCTACAAAGCTATTTAATTCTAAAACTGCTACAAGAATTTTGTGTCATGCAATTACTAAAGTGTATTATTTAAGTTAAATGCATTATGTAAAAAATATGCATGTATTCCCCAGTGTTAAAGTCAGTGCTTACTGTAAGTTTTATTTAGTCTTTTTGCTACTATTTTATTTTCATTTCACTTTTAGACTCTTCTTTCTCAATTATGTCTTTAAAGTTGTATTATGATTTGATGTCACAACCTTCGAGAGCTTTATATATATTTCTCAAGGTCTGTAACTTACCATTTGAACGGAATATTATAAACTTGAAGAATCTGGAGCAACTTACCCCAGAATATGAAAAAATTAATCCAATGAAGAAAGTACCTGTCATTGATCATAATGGCTTCAAACTTGCTGAAAGGTATTATTAGTTATAGATAACAGTAAATAACAGTAATAAGAGACGTACTTGCATCTATTTCTGGTTTGGATGGCTTGTGATTGCTTTGTCTTTTTAATTATTCCAGTGTAGGGATCGTGCGTTATATATCTAGAGAATTTAAAGTGGATGATCGTTGGTACCCATCTGATTCTAAACTTCAAGCAAAGGTTGACGAATATCTCGAATGGCAACATCTTAACACAAGACTACATGCTGCTACGTACTTTTTAATACAGGTAATACTCTTTTATATATTTTTGTGAACTAACATTAAAATGGTTTATGTTATAGTTTCTTCTGCCCCTTATAAAAGGGAGGGCACCAAAAGCAGAAAAAGTAGCAGAATCCGAAAAACGTTTGAATGATTGTCTCGATCTTATCGAAAATGTATGGCTGAAAGATAAATTATTTTTAACTGGAAATACCATCACTGTAGCTGACATATTTGGTACTTGTGAAATTGAACAAACACGTAAGTCATGTATACATCTTTCGGTCTCATCTATTATAATACAATGTCTGTAACTTAAATAATAAGGAATCTATCTTTCGTTTCTTTCGATAGGCTTAGCTGGTTATGATCCACAAAAGGAGAGACCAAATTTGACTGCTTGGATGGAAAGAGTTGCTAAAGAGACAAGTCCTCATTATCAAGAAGCTCACAAATTCTTAAATCTGTTGATTAAGCAAGCTGGGGAAAAAACGAGCAAAATTTAACTTTCTCCTGGATAAATGGATACACTTACATATTATTTGTTTTGATCTATAAATTAAAGTATCTTTTATATTTTTTTTGTTTTAGATACGTTATATAAATATGTTTGGATAAATATATCTATACAGTTGATAAATATTCTATATTCTATATTCTGGGATACACAAAAATAAACTTGTGGTTCTACAGCTCTAAGCCATGTATTCCATAAAAAACTATTACTCTGCAGATCATATATATGCACAGATACGCCATTTATCATTTATATTCCATCCATTTATTTGCATCCATCTAAACGAGTTTAGTGCTGCAATCTCTTTACAGGTACAACTTTTATAAAAGTATAAAAATGTCATTTGTCGATAATTTTGTTTCTCATACATAATTAAAAAGTGTTAAGACATATATATACTCTAAGTGTTATTTTTCTCAAAGCAACGCGTGCTTTTAGATACATACGTTTAAGAATAAAAGTTAATTTTCATACCATACTCTAGCTGGTTTCTTTGACACACATTTCCGATAAAGCGTTCTTTTGTCGATTTCGCATTTGGTAATATAAGTTTGCAGTCGAATCTCTTAATCGCTACGACTACGCGTAAGGTACATCAGAGGTAGCACGTTCGTAACACTTGTTACATTGAAACACATAATACATACCAACGAGAACTGACGCGTAATTATTATCCAGATTACAATTATCCTTCGTATTATAATTATTGCACAATACATATATCATTTAACGCGTAATAACAAGGAATATAATGCGTGGTGCGCTGAGCTCTTTGTCTTTCACAGTTCGCAATTTACAAAACGAAACGTTAGACTATGAGCGATGCGCCATAAAAATTACAACAAGCATTTGTTTTACAACCAGGCACACCTTATCACATCGTAATATAAATTCAATACGACTGCAAGATATAACTTGCACTCGTTATAAAATTTATTACATGTTGACTAGAGGTAAAAGGATCGTATTACGGCAAGAATATTGAGAGACAATGATGAGAAGTGTTGCCTTGGATATTTAATAAATGTCAACCTGTGATTTTTCCAGATTCTCACAAATTACGATTTTCCAAGCTTCTACGATATTTCTCTCAGACGAGTTTTTTCAACTTAGGCATCCTTTTCGGACATTTCTCAACGTGGATGCTCCAATGACGAGTCTGACACCTCTCGTCGCAATAGAATGCCGCTTCACAACCCAAACACTTAAACATAGAGCCAATCAGACCGCAGTTGGAGCACTCGAGGTTGTTCGTAGTTTCCAGAGTGCGATTCACCTTCCCCAAGTGCGGGGTATCGCAATTACGGGTCTCCTTTCTTGCCGTCTCCTTTGAGATCAATGTATTGGACGTCGGAATTGTGTTGATCTTGTATGTCGACGAAGACATGGAAGCTGCCTCTTGCGCGTTGTCATTGAAGATAGCCGATTGCGAATAAGCATCATCAGTTTTCACGTAAGGCAGTCTATCCAAAATCAGATTCTGTAACTGATGATAATTGCCGGTGTTCAGCCGCGAATTCACGCTGACTCCGCCGGTGACGGATTGTACTTGTTCAGGCAGACGTTCACGACTCGCTGTTCTATTTGCTATCAGCTGTGTGGACTCGCTGTCGATCATGCCGCTGATACCTCCGGACATCATCTCCGCATCGGTTCTTCCGTACGGTGGCAAAGGACCACGTTGTCGGCCGAAAGAAGCTGCTGCCATCACAGCGGCGGCTGCTGCCGCGGCCACAACGTCTGGAATCATCCTATTCCTGCCGCACTGATTAGTACTTGAAGAATAGCCAGCTAAAGGAGCGGTACGAGCCAACGTCTGTTGCGCTGCGCCTGGCAACGGAGGCGGAGGCGGAGGCGGCGGAGGCGGCGGCGGCGGCAATAACAACGGTGTCAGGCAAGCTGTGGATGCGGTGGTGCCGTTTTGAGTGGCCGCCGTCGCTGTCCTCAGTCGATCAAAATCCAAACCGGCGACGGTGTGCTGATAATTCCCCGCTGCGGATAAAGACGCGGGATACTTGAGAAGATCCGTGGTGAAGTGCCGCGTCGCCGCCTCCTGCAGATGCGTCGGGAAACGCTTGTCCAGATGCTGCATCTGACGAAGCGGCGAGGAGTGAGAGTCCTGAAGCGGTATCTGGTAACCGCTTATTGGTGGCGCAGCCGTGTGCAACCGCGAGTGATAAGAATAGTCACCGTATGGGCATATTGCTGAGTGGTAGCCATAAGCTGCGCCGCTGCCGTAAGGATCGATCTGTAACGATGAGAATTATGAATTTTCTCTTTTTCGGATATCTTCACATACAGCGACTGGTTCGTACGAACTCGTTAATACCGCTGTTTCTTACCGCATAATTAGGTGGATAGAACTGGGTAACCGAGATCGGCGGGCAGATTCCTGTTCGGACTGCGGGCGCAGCTGATGAAGCTGCGGCGTACAATTGCTGCTGACGCTGCTGGTGTTGTTGACGTTGCCATCTCTCAGTGTTCCACTGCGGAGCTACGTTGACAATGTTGCTCCGAGTTACATTGCTCGGCACACTCGCGCGCACCTTTTGCGTCTCCAGTCCAGGAACCTGAGCGCAAGTAAATTGGTGGAATTTCAGTTAAAAAAGTTATCGTCATCGGGAAGGATGGTTGTTGGGGCGAAAGTACGCTTACGCGAGCCACCTTTGCGGTCGACGCAGTTGGTAGTGTCACTCCAGACTGTAGTTTAGACTTGGACTTGGCAGTCTGCTTCTTCGACATTCGTGTCACCCAGTTGCCCAGTGTGGGAAACTGCTCCGTCATAATGCGATTCCCCTCGTTTCGTTGACCGGCACTGTCTTGAGCGACTTCGTTGTTGCAACTGTTTGGCAAACTGACATGCAAAATGAAATTAAATAGCCGCAAATGAAATTTATATTGTTTGTAAAGTGCCAGAGTTACACCTACACAACGCATTGCTGGTTCGAACTGCTAACACTTGATCCAGACTGAGCGAACACCAGAGGTATCGTTGGATTTAAAGCCACGGGTTGGCTAACGCTCGACGTCACCTGAGTACACTGGAATACGTTTAGACTTCTTAGATCTAATCTGTTAGCAGTTGGTTTCTTTTGTACTCCTTTTGTAATTTCATCGCAGCTAATTTGAAATGCTTTCCCAGGTTACTTACCTTCTGCGCGTTCCTCGTATTCTGTATAACGCCCGTGAAGACCACCTTGTCCCTCGCAACGGGCGCGCCGTAGTAATTCGATTGCAGTTGCAAGATGTTAGTCACATTAGACGTGGCCACTTGCGGTCGTCCGACTGTCATTGGTGTTTCTTGTGCCGCAGTAGACGTACTCGCGACGATTCTACCTTCACTGTTGACCCTCTCGTCAGAATCGTAGGCCGTGTGCTCCGTGCTGTTCCTGGTTCCCTCGAGAATCGGATTGGACGAAGGTAACAACATCTCGCTCGATCTGCTTTGCTCCTGTTTCTCCTCTTGTTTCTCGCGAACAATTTGTTTATTCACAGTTTGGGCTTCCGCAACCTGCGCGATCACTTCATCGAGACATCCTTGAACGGCGGCGGGTTCCTTCGTGTCCCTCGTGTCGCCTTCGTCTATCTCGATGTTCACTGTCGAGCGTAGAAAGTCGTCGGAAGATATCGGCGATGTCGAACGTTCAGGCTCGTCCACGTCGTCGAATGTCTTCGTGTCCTCCTGGATCTTCTCCTCGATCTCCGGATTCTTCAAAGTTGACAACAGCTTCGTCGAAAGCTCCTCCGTGTCCCATTCTGCCGTATCGTTTCCCAGACCTTCAAACTCCGACGATGAAATTGGAGACACAGCTGGTTCATCCGTCACACCGCTACGAATAACTGTTCGATCTGCATCGTCGAAAATCTTAACTCCCTTTTTAATCGATGAGCTTGACGAATCGTCGCTACTTCCGTGCCAGCTTGTCGCGCTGCCTAAATTCTGTTTCGTGCATTCCAGGGTGGTCGGCTGGATCGCGATGTACACCCTAGGCAGCACCGGCGGACTGTCTCTCACTTTGTCCGGCGACTTGCTCTTCTCGTAGTCAATGGGAGAACGTGGTGAAAGCTTCGGCGGTTCCGGCGACGGCGACGGCGACGGCGACAGCGACGGCGACGGGGAAACGCTGGCTGACTGCCTAGCGGCTAACATCCCATTGATCACCTGTGCGACACCGCCGCTGTCGCCGGCGGTTCTCTCGACGACTTGCTCTTCGTCCAGCTCGTCCTCGTAGTTGAGGTCGACGATCTCGTCAGTCGACATCGGCGGTATAGAGGCGGAGAGCTTGCACAGCAGCTTCGAGACGTTCTCGATCTGCTTCTCATAACAGTTCATCATCTGTCGCAGCCGCGTGCTACGCTGCGGACTCGTGTCGGCGTCATTGCTGCGAACGGCCATCTCGCGCGACAGTTCCAGCGCCTTGCCGCGCAGTTCCCGTAATTTCTGACGCAGCCGGTTACGACGGTACTTGATCTTGTAGCCGTCGCTCTTCGGCGAGGATCGCCGGTTCTTGTCTCGCAAGATCGGCTTGTCAGCATCTTTCTCTGCGCTCACGTTGCTCCAGAAGACCGTGGAGTATTCGGATGGAGATTCCGGACGTGGCGTGGCGCCGGTTACGATGCGGTAATTCAACTCGTTGCCTGACTCATTGCTCACCTCGACATTGCGGTACTCATCGGTGATGCTCGCTGAGAACGAAATAGGAAAGGGAAGAAAAATTTCGTGTGCCGCTGAAGAGTCATGCGTTAGTAACTTATGGAACATTATTTTCCCAATGATAGATTAAAACGAAAAATCGTACCTTCGCGCACAACTTTCTTCAGTCTTAAAGGCGGCACAACTTTGTTGCAGATCTCCTTCGTCTTCTCCACCTCCGGCTCCGTTGTCGACACCATGACTGACGACGAATACCTTTTGTCATCCCACAGCCCCAACACCACGTGCTGCGACCGCCTCTCTCCTTTGTCCGCCAAATTACCAGGACACGTCCTAGAATATTCTTTCAAAATATTCTCGACGCGTTCGTCGCGCGTGTGACTGGCGTCCACCTCGTGGGATTTTCTCCGTTTCTTTACCTCCTTGGTAATCTCTTTCTCATATTCCCTGTCCAGATCTTCGCTGCTTTTTCTCTTAACGCTACCGATCTCTTTCGCAATCTGTAACACGTACATCATCATCGCTAAAGAAAACTGACAGCAAGTCGCAATGATACTTAAAAGTAAGCGGCGTTAAATAACTCACAAGTTTTATCTATGGATATCGTTAGCGTCGGCCAAGAAAGTTTAACTGTGCAGTGCACAGTAACTATATAACATAACGATAAATGTATTATGTTTGTTGAAAGATATAGTACCACCGGAAACGCTGTTCTCTTATCGGACGTCGCCGCTGTGAGAATTGAATTTACCACCTGCACGACGTTAGGCATGTCCGTGAGGGTGTAATTCGTCCGATCGATGAGTTCGCTCGCGAGTATCATCCCGTCGCTCTTCTCATCCCGCTGCCTGAACGGGAACTCACTGAGCTCGCTCGTGCAACTCGAAGATTTCTCGGATTGTACCTTGACGACGCTGTCCACGCTCACGGGCTTCGACAGCTTGAGGATCGGCGAGCGTGTTTTCCTCGACGTCACGATCGACGCTGCTGACCTCGTCGGCGTCGGCGGCGCCGGCAGAATGGGCAGGGAACGATTAGGCTGCACGGGGATCACGCACGGGCCGCGATCCCTCAAGGCGGTCGCTAAACTACCGCCTGTACCGCTGCGTTGCAGCCTGCTGGAACTGTCGGCTATCATGATGCGAGATTCTAGAAGAGAACGAGAGTCACATTTACTATTGCAGTTAAATCTAATATAGAATTCTATGTATCTCATTAGAGAGTATCCGTGTGGTAGAATCATATGTTTTGCACCAAAGCATTAATTTTCTCATTAACAAGGGAGCGAACGCTTATTCATAAGATTGTGATTTTGTGTTTTAGGTTCTGTGTCTCTCAGAATGGCCGTGAGTGATTAAAATCACGCAAATACCTCTCTCTTTGCGTTATGAAATCATAAAGCTTGAAAAAACAATGTGTTAAAAAAGTTATAGGTAGATTTACAAGTTAATGCACACACACACACACACACACACACACACACACACACACACACACACACACACACACACACACACACACACACACACACACACACACACATACGCACACATACACGAGTTGATAATATGTTACGCGAAGGTGCACTGCACATTTTGCACGCGACCGTTTTTGTACACGAGGAGCGTAATTGATGATGCGTCATATATTTGTTCTTTGATGTCGACGTCGAAGTCGAAATGAAGGTACGAATTATTAGACATTGATAGATTGTACTTTTTTTTTTAACATGTTTTTATCGCGTTCTCACCCGACATTTCTGAGTTCTTGCCGTCATCGAATCGCTTCAGAATTCGGCTTTGTTTCCAGGTAGCCCTCGACTCTTCGCTGGTTAAATCCACGATGATAGGAGTTTCATAATCTAACGAGGTGACCGTGTTCGACATGGAAGTCCTCTTATTCGCTTCGTTTTCGTAATAATCGATATGTTCCTCCTCATCCTCCTCATCCTGTTCGTTCATTAGATCTCCGGTCTCGCGCATCTTCGCGACGCTATTCTGCAACTGGCATTCTGCACAATCCTTGCACGTGGAGCACATGTCAATCGCGTCCTCTTTCTGCTCCGTCGAGCTGGAAATCCCCATGCAGGTCGCCCGTTCCGCCAATGCAACATGATTGGTGTCGCTGTTCTCACAGAAGAGCTCCACAATGTCGCAGGTCAGGATGTTGGAATCGTTCGTGTCTATGGAACATTTGTTAAATTCCAGGGGCAAGATTCTCCCGGTGTCATCGGACCGGCTGCGCGGTTTTTTACTACGGAATGTCGCGAACTTGGGCCAACGAGATTGCGCGAGTGACTCGTTGAATTTTTCTCTTGACGACGACGACGACGACGACGACGACGACGACGACGATGACGTTTTCCTCTTGCGTGCCTTTAACGCGATGTTCAGGTGCCGATCGTGTAATCGCATTTTCCTTTATGCGATAGTTAAGTGACACGAGACTCGAAAGTTCGCTGGAACATTTCGCTCCAGTCGCGTTTAAAAGTATTCAGAAAGGCGGCGTCCTCCACCTCCCTTCCATTCGCAAGAAACACGCTGCAGTAATCGCGATTGAAAGGGGGGAAAGGAAGGTAATTAATTATTAAAAAGCCAACGTTATACTTTAGTAGTTTTGGTCGATGAAGTTGAACAAAGTCTCGCGATGCAAATAATATATAGCGAAGGGGTGGGAAGCGAGAAGTGAGAGCGGGAGTGTGAGAGAAAGAGAGTAAGGAGTGTGAGAGGGAGCGAGCGAAAGAGAGAGAGAGAGAGAGAGAGAGACGCACTCACGAAAGGGAAGGCAATAATTGCAAAGCTTCGTGCACTATATGTCAACCATTCTACGGTGTTTTTTTCCTTTTTTTCGTTTGGAAGGCTCCTCCTATCGATTCTTATCGATCGCACGTACGCATTGTGCATCAACTATCCACTGCATGGTGTGCAGAACACACGAAAAAGGGAGAAATTACGTTTCGCACGCGATACACGCCTCCCTTGCCTCTACTTTTCTCTCTCGCTCTTCTCTCGCTTTTCTCTCTTTTTCTTTGCCGCCCTTTCTCTCTCTCTCTCTCTCTCTCTCTCTCTCTCTCTCTCTCTCTCTCTCTCTATCTATCTATCTATCTCTTTCACTCGTCAGAGCAACGCACATGCATTTTTCTTTTTCTCTTTTTTTTTTTACTTATACGGAAATTTACGGTCGCATCGAAGAACTCGAAAGCGTAGGGAACGATCCCCCTCGAGACTGAATTGAAAAGTGAAAAAAGGAACGTTCGTACTGGAAACTTTCGTCGTTGTAACATGTGCGCGACGCATATCTAAAATGCGTAAGTAAAATTCGATCAACTTAACATTGTAGTTCAACCGCGAACGTAATTGTTGAATGTCACGGCAATCAACACTTTTAGACGAAATTACCGGCAACAAACGAAAAGCCGTAGTTTGGGTCGCAAAATTGACGATATTTTCGAACTTACTTCACCGGTTCGCTACTCTATACGCGTGTATTTTCAAAAAATACTTTAATAATATTTAAACAGCAAAGGATACTCGCGTTATTGCATATTTTTACATTATTTTTTTCTATCTCAGTTTCAGGTACAAGATATGATTAAATTTCAAAAATAATTCACAAGGATGTTCAATGTGTCACTAGTTATGAAACTTCGCCGTTACATTTTATCGAAGTCATGCTGATTATATTAATTTTAATAACAAAGAAGGTATATATGCAAATTACCTTCGTGCCGACATATCCAGAAGCTAAATGAATATCACACACAGTGAAGCAACTATATAAAGATACGACGCAGTGAAGCACTGTGTTCAGTCGATTATTAATTCTACTGTTACACAGTTCACACGGTAATGCAACTTCCATACTTAAACTGTAACGGAACATCGTGCTCTTCTGTCGCTCACGGACAGAGGGTATAACTAGCTAACGTTACTTCTGATCATCAACACTGCTGAGTTTATATGTCACGCTAAATCTTGCACCACCCCCTACATCCTTTTTCCTTTCTTTTCCTCTTATTTCATGAACGTTTATTTCTTTCCGCAAAATACCTCGTCTTCTTCTCTCTCTCTCTCTCTCTCTCTCTCTCTCTCTCTCTCTCTCTCTCTATCTATCTCTTTACAATAATTTTACTTCATTACACCACTAAAGTAACGAGGAATCAGCAGCTAACAGTGCTTCTTCACGCTGTCGAGCCTGCACGACCACTTTCGCGAATTTTACCGCACTGCGACGGTATCGCAAACGTGTATGACGTGTCGTTGTTATCACCGAAAATAACTTCGCGACGAAGTGCACGAGTGGACACGTGAAACGTCTCGCGCCTCGCATTTCTTTCTAATCAGACATTCCGCATGCGTTGAGGCCTCCGCTGGTCTCTCGACGCGCCGCGCGGGACGCCACAACACTTTATTCTTCACGCTCGATATCACCCGGAGAGACAGTGTCCACGACGTACATCCACGTGTCATCGTGCCCTCAGACTGTCACGCGTGAAGGAGCGCGAGTCTCGGCGGTGCGATGGAGTCGCCTGTCCCCCTCTATTTAACACGCTACACGCGCGAGCGACAACAGCTCTCTTCAAAAGAGCCCTTCGACGCGGAGCGTATTTCAATTGGCCGTCCAGGACGCGCATCCTGCGGCGCAGGCGACGGCGACGACGGGAGCCGGAAGGACGATCGGAGAAGGGGCACACGCGAGGGAGTCGATCATATTTAATGTCTCTCGACGCGATGTCCGCTATTTTCTTGCTCCCCTCTCTGTGTTATGCATCTACAATGTTACGTCTTCGGGGAAACCGAATCGACAGAATTATTCGCAGACTGGAAGTATCGCGCCCCCACGGCGCTAATAGTCGGTATGAATATAGTTGGAACTTTTTTTCTCAAAGTAGATACTCTCCTTTTCGCGCGACTCCGTCGGACTTAGGAACGACGCTCAATATCTAAATGTCTCGGTAGGAACTCGTTAAGTAACGTATGCATCAGAGAGCTGCTAATAGCCATATATTAGCGTATACTGCTCACGCATACATATATTCCGCTTCTTATCTGTAGGCGCACTTGCGAGTAGTTACGCGTATACGCTCAATGATAACTTCGCTATGATAAAGCGATCGGCCAACATCGTTATAACACATCATCATTATACCTTCTGTAATTAAATTCTTTTCCTAGAAGCATCAATGTAACTCGTGCGGCCTCGTGCGCAGGTCACAAAATAGACTTTGCTTGAACATGAATAATTCTAATGAGCAAGCGCTATTACCTCCGCCAGCAGATTTATAATTTTTAAACGTCTTCGCGCTGATCGACGAGTCTCATAAAACGCCGATAAAAACTTGCTCGCGTCGTCGCTAAGTCCTAAGCATCCACAGTTGGGAAACTCGCCGCAATGGGTGCGTTCACGGAACTCAACAGTTGCACGACAGTTGAGTATCAGATGAGTGAGCGATTAGTTAGCGGTATAGAGATGTACACTGAGCGCAACTGATTCTTCTTGAGAGTTCTGCGCGATTTTGTTGCGCGCAAGAAGGTCAGATAAACTGTACTGAATATTACGGCCCGTCTTCGCGCTTATGTGTTTCGTAATTATTAAGTATTTTCATAAATATAATTCATATGTGTCTGTTACAATGTATTTTACATCATCCTTGACATATTCCCCGCTATATATATTTGGATTTATATGACTATTTTCTTGGTTATTTTCTTCATTCATGGGCTGCGCCATGTTGGATCGGAGACCGATCAGCAAAGGTAGCGACGAATATTTATAATGGGAAAAATGGCCGACTGCTCACTCAACATGTTGCGCGAGTGAGCGCATCGCTCAGGACGCGTTCAGAACGAAGTCACTCAACAGTCGCACAACCGTTGAGTGTCGTGAATGCACCCAATGTTATTTCGAAAATAGAAATTTCGAGCGTGTTCTCCCTCCCTCATTCTGTCTGTTGAACGTAGAACGGAGAACTTTGAGCGCCTCATCGATACGGAGGGGATGAACGCTTCATGCCTCACTCTTTGGATAATGTTAGTGTGACGCCGATATAACTAGCCGGGGAACCCTTTCGGGGGGAGAAGAGTTCTTTCATAATTTACCGGACCACTTACAGGTATCCTCTTTGTAGTTCTGCGTTATATAAGGTTAGTGTACGGCGTTAGTGTACGGCAGACAACCTTGTGCCATCACCTGCCGCAGCGGCGTCGTTTCTTTGAGTGCCACTTTTTAGCGATCGTAATATAGTTCCTCCCGGAGGAGGATTTCGCCAGCCCTCGATCCCTCGCTCCCCGGGGAATACTCAACCGGCAATGCCCATCAGCGGCACTCCGCGTTGAAGTAATCCACATCGCGACATTAATGCGTCGTTCTACTCCGCCGTTCACTCGGAACGGAGGAATATATCTGCATGTTTGATTAATTGGACTTGGCAACAGCGCGCGAAACGCAGGCAAATTTAATTAATCCTTTGAAGCATACATTTTTCTGTGTTGATCCTGTTATTTGTGAAATTTGGTGTATAATGGTTTTGGGGGGAGGTCGCTGATCACGAATCCGAGATCAGAAAAAAATGTTTTTTTTGCTCTTTGTTCATTTATAAAACTTTTGCAATAAATAACAAATCTTCCTAAATTATTTCTTTATATTCTTTTATCCCTAAGATACCAGTAAAATGCAAGAAAACCGATCTAAATGCGTTAATTACATAATAAAAGGCCAAAAAATAAAGAAGTGGTTTAGGTGGTAACGTGGGTTACTGTCGTACATCAAAGGGTTAACCGAAAATATAGATGGAGAGCGAGCGAGCGAGAGAGAAAGAGATGCCGAGGAGGCATCGGTCTCGTTTCTCGGGTTTCTTTGTTGTGACAACGCCAACAATATGTACGTATGTGCGGCGATGTGGCCGATGAATGCTATAGATAGATCTTTACAACGAACGTGCGCCTCTTCACTTTGTTGCAATAGTATCTACGTCCGGGTGTATAAGGGTCATCGACATCCCCCTTCGCGAATATCGACGAAATCCGCCAGAGATCGGCGGCCGGCCGGCAGTTTCGGCAAAAAATCATCCCGCCAGCCTGGCCTTTTTCGCAGAAGTTCTCCGGTACCGGCAATCTATCCGTGCTTATTACGCGTGTTATGCTTATAGAAGCGAGCTATCGATCGAATGAGAAAAAGTCTCACGGAGAACCGAGGCCGAAGTCTCAGGGGTCGAACTCTGCGATTTCGCAGTCTTCGATTCTTGCGATGCGGCGACAAGTGTTGAAAACGAGAACGGCGAAGGCAAGCAGGATCTATTTCTTTAGCGCGCGAATCATCATCGATTCGGTTGAAGTATAATAAGATCATTCGAGTATAATTAGAATATATAAGCTGGATGAAGTTTACATTTATTTGAAAAACAAGCCGAAGGCTTACATTTCGATATAAACATCTTGTTTACGTCATCCAATCTTTAATAAATTAAAGAGAACACTGCGAGAGAAATCCTGAGAGCTCGGCTCATTACGTCAACATCAAGGCTATCGAGATTGGGAAAAACTGTTAAATATAAATCAAGCGGAATGTAAATACCAGTGTGTGTGTGTGTGTGTGTGTGTGTGTGTGTGTGTGTGTGTGTGTACTCACCTGTTAGTCTCTGGATTAGCCCGCTACTTCATCGATCGTCTCTGATAACGTGAGTTAGCCCATCTTTCTCTGCACACACATGATGTTCTTCGAACGGCGGGTCTGCGACACGCAGCGGCTGGCATGAACACCCCGATGTGAACACGCCGCGGTGAAGCAACGCTGGCCGAGTCGCGTTCTCCCATCCAGACGTCGAGCGGCTTCGTCGATATATCCACTTTCACATTTGCTGCTCCGACCACACGTGAGAGAATTCACTTTCGGTCCGACGAATGTCCTCTGACTTCACTCTTTCATTTTCATTATTTATTACGGAAGGTCGTTTCGAATCTGTGAACTCTTGACACTCGTGAATTCGAGCGACGAGGCGTTCAGCGTGAAATTTCTACGACTCGGTCAGCGGTGTCCTCGTTATCAGCCGGCGAGCGAGACGCGCAAAACCGTCGCCGATTTACCGTCCCACTTTAACTCGTTTCGTGATTTGTTATGTCTGATTTGTTACATGATTTCATGTCTAGGGACGCGCCGCGCGGCAGACCCGGTGTGCCGAAGCCGGTGTGCAGCACGCGAGTGCGAGGTCGCCAGGTACATAGCAGCGCCACGTGGTAGTCTGAGGTCGTTACCGTGGGGGGCCGTCGTCATTAGCCCTCTCGGATCAACGACAACGACGGCGGCGGCGGCGACGACGATGACAACGACGACAGCGGGCAAGGCGACGTTGACGACGACAAAACCGAAAAGACTCGAGTGAATTCGTCATTTTACAAAACGTGAACACTAGGGTACACCGTGATTTGCATGGTGAATGCAAAATTAGATAAACAAATTATTTATTCATACGCTCTATTAAGAGCAGCTGAATTTCCTTGAGCGCTAGATTACGAAATAGTGATTTCAACTTTGTGTGTACGCTATTTCCAGGAGGTAGGCGAAAAGAAATCTGAAAGTGTACTTGAAACTGTCCGATATATACAGCGTTCGCGTTGTTTCATCTTCCAGACGGAAATTTTGCACGGTAAAAATGCAAGAATTTTGTCATATATTTTGCGTAATAACATATAACAGCTCCACGTAGTTCGCGATCCACCTTAGAGTCATTCGAGCTGCTTCTTTTCTTCTTTTGTCAAAGAGCCCTCAAGCTAAATTTAACTCGAGCATGTAAAGCGTGTCCCTACATACACGCGCGATCGATTTTCTTTTGTCTTGAATTGCTATCATAACTTTTAACTACATTTGTGCAAAACCTCTATATTTTATTTTATCGATCGGATAATTGTTACTCATAAGGTGAGATGCCGTTTTTGAGACTATTAAGCGCAATCTATGCGCTATTTGCCGCACCGGAGAAAAAAAGACAATGATAATAACAACGACGATAATAACGAATTAATAAAAAATGACAAATTATTTTAACAGGAAATAAGTAATATATGGAGAAAACTGCGGAGAACACAATGCTCGAGTTTTTCTTTTTATCCTTCTGGGCGGAGCATGAATTACGTTCTCATGGCAACTGACGGTAGGGAAGGTCAAGTGCAGCGGTGAGACTGCAGCGCGAAAACGATGAACGGGATTGTACTGCGGTGCGGCAATTTTAACAAAAACATATATAAACATATATAAATATTGAAGAATTTGTTTGCATACAGAAGTATGTAAAATTGAATACGCGAAGCACGTTGCACCGATTGTCCGCCGATAACAATCATCGATCGATTACTTGTACTTTCCCCTGGAAAAGAAAAAAACAGATGCGTGTCAATGACGCGAGTTATGTCTTCCTTCATTGGACAGCGCGATACCCTTGCGGTCTCTCCGCTTAATTTCGCTCACGCGATAGCCGTACCGATAAGTGCACCTACATATCGATAAGTGTAATTTTACATTGCCGGTACAAAGTTTTCTTTATTTTTTTTCTTCTTCGTATGAGTCACCCTTATCTCACAAGTTGGGGCGGCTCCGTATTATTTTTGTTTTTTTCCACTATAAAATTCACCCACGAATCAATTTCGCAAATTTCGTCCGTAATGTGAACAATGGTATTGTATATTATATATATATATATATATTCCGTCGACATTTGTATTTTCTTCGGCCGAACACGCCGAACCGCTGCTTCCCTCGTTCGTGAGATTATTACTCGCTAACCGCACCGTCGGTTCGCGGTAACGCGAAACGTGATCCTCGTAACACGATCGGCCACCTGTATATCCCCGCTGACATAATTCCTATCGAACAAACAAAGGAACGGTTGCTCATCGGCAAACAGTTAACTGCAGTATCTCGCCGCGGTTGCTGCTATCAGGTTACCTTGACTTTTCTCGTCTTCTCGCGGTGGTATCAAGGGTCGTTATCAACGTCATCTTCGTCACTTTTTCTCCTCTTCCTCTAGCTGTAGCCTTTCGTCTTTTTTGAGACGCGTCTTGCGATCCTCAATCTTTCTTCTTTTTTACTTTTCAAGCGTCAAGGGTTATCGTTTATTGTTTACCTGACACGCGTGCATGTACGTGATTATATTCATCATTTCAGGCGTTGCAAAGAGGACAAAAGTATCTCGATGAAGAATCGGCCCGCACGTGAGGCGCAGCTGTCGTTTAGCTGACACTTTGCCGGAGAAGCTAGTAATATCGTCGTCGTGATATGCGATCATGTCGAGGACCATGGCGCGCAAAACGAAATCCGGCAACTTCGAGTATCGCGGCAACTCCAAGTTTCCGGCGGGGGTGTACACGATCCATCCGCCGCCGGTTTGCGATCGCATGCTCGAGGACAGACCGATCCACTTGAGGAGATCTAGCGCCTACGAAGGGAAAGAGGTAATCGATTGTAAAACGGGACGGCGAAAGGCTGCCGCGTAGTTAATGAAAAATATTGCAATGTCTCGAAATCCAGCTGAAAGCAAAACCGAGATAAATGACTGTAAATTTAACAGATCGGTAAGATAAGGGATAAAAGTGGCGTGAGGAAGTATCTGATACCTTCGAAGGAACGCATGGTCTATCCGAAAATCATGACGAAGAAGGAGTACGAATGCCTGAAGGAACGCAATCGCGTGATCACGGATGAGGAGAGGCAAGCGGCCGCGGAAGCCGCGGAGGAGGAAAAAGAAAGATTAATGAGGGAAAGTATGGAGCGTAAGGAGGCAATGTGCCTAATGGACTTGAAGAAGAGCCGTGATAAGGAGCCGAAAACCAGCGAGATTGAGGAGGAGGCGAGGAAGAGAATGACGCATATCCTTGACCGAGCACAGAACATGCGGCTCGAGCAGGAGGAGGAGGTACAAAGGTGCAATCGGTTCATCCTGGAGACGAAATGCCGAGCTATCCGCGACGCTCAGGTGATACTCGATCGATTTTGGATTTTATGATTTTTATAAATTTTGTAAAATCTGTCTTTCACACAAGCGGCTGTCTCATTCGTGCAGATCGCCGAGAAGAAACTGATAGAACGAGAAATTCTCGAGGAGGAGAAGCGACTGGACGATATGATGGAGGACGAGAGAAGATGGGCGGTCAAGGAAGAATTGCGGAAGGAAGAGGAGGATGCTGCCAAGAGGCTGCGATTCGCCAAGTTTTTGAAGGAGCAGATCGAGGAGAACGAGGAGCAACGAGTCCTCAAGTTTGAGAAGAAGCAGGAAGAAAGTCGGCTCATCAATTTAAGTACCGTCGCGTGGCAGCAAGATGAGGCTGAGAGGCAGCGCAAGAAGGAGGCCGAACATGCCAGAGTGCGGCAGGAATTCACAGAGGTGTCCGAACAAATGAAACGCTACAAGGATGTGGAACAGGAGGAAAACAGAATTATAGACTTGAGGTATCATCCGTTTTTAACATTTTATATGTTTGAAGTTATTTTCGATCCTGAGTCTGTTCTTCATAGCTGTACTAAGTTGCACCATTTGCGTCTGAAATGAAAAAACCCGAGATAATTCAGAGAATATGCAGTTATGGAGGACACATTTTTTTTTTAGGATAAAAGACCATCTTCGGCAGAAGGAGGAAAGGGACGCCAAAAAGAAGGAAGAGCAGAGACTGGAAAATTTACGAAAGGAGCGAGAGAGGACCAGAATAGTGACTCGAGCGACACATACGCGTGAGATTCAGGTATGAAATATCGATATATTTGTAGAAATTATACCCGATAAAATACATTGCAATATTGCGCGAATTCTTCTGCTAGTGAAAATGCAATCATTTGTATGAGAAATTATTTTCTCGCATTCCGCATTGTTTTGTGTGTAGCTTTTACAATTATCTACGTACGTTTTTGCGTACGTTTCTATTTACGTAGTATACGTAGTATACTTGTCGAAGGTTACTGAATCCACGAGCGCCACGTCAAGCTTCGCTATCTACTATGTGTGCTCCCGTTTCGAAATTATGAAGCTTCGCGTTTGTTTTATTATATCCGCATTATTTTCTCGTTCAATAAGGAATTAAACAGTCCATTTTCGCTTTCGTGGAAATGGCAATTAACGTAAATTGAACGTTATTAATTTCTATTCTATTCTCGTTCCGAGTATACATTCAGCATTTATATATTGCACAATACTACCATGTCAGAATAATATTTAACGAAAAAATCATCAATTGCAACATCAGCTGAACGAATGGCGATAATAAAATTGCAGGCGCATATCGACGAGATCAACATGACTCGAGTTCGTGAAGAGGTGGAGCGGGAGTGGAGACGAAAGGAAAAGGAAGGAGCCCTGAAAAGACTGGAAGCTCAAAAGATGCTACAAAAGGGAAGGATGGAGCAGATAAATAATAAGCGCATTATGCAAGCTATCGAGATCGAGCGAGATAGACGGGAATTCGAGAGGATCGTACGCGTGCAACAAGCAGCTCTTTGCAAAGAAAAGGAGGAACGCGAGCGCAAGCAACAGCAAACTTCGATTCTTCGTGCCGAGATATTAAAGCAGGTTTGTATTGTTAATTCTTGTAGCTATGAAAAAGTTGAACGCATTCACACATATACGTTAACGTTTATCTCGCTTACAGGTGAATGAAAAAGAACGAGAACGCATCGCCGAACGTCAAAATATGTTCGAGGAAGGTCTGGCAATCCGTGCGGAAGTTGAAGCGCGCAAGAAAAAGTTGCAGGAGGTGATGGAACGCAAATGTCAAGAGATGAGGGAAAACAAAGTGCCGGATTCTTACATCAACGAAGTGAAACGAATGATCGAGAATATCCAATAAATAAAGTATATACCCAGATCTCTATCTAATCTATCTTGGAGTAGAAAAACCGACTCAAACTTGTGTCTAAAGGCAACGAATTATATATCTCTCTATATTTTATTATCTATACACTTATATATAAACTTGATTATACATCGAGGCACATAATATTAAAGTAAAAAAATTCTTATCAAAAGTCTGTGTTGACACGAAAGTTGTCAATATTCAAGTCTGATAAGTCTGCGTAGATTATTCTCTATTTCGGCATCACTTCCACAACATTACGACATTTGGGTCGCGTTCGATGATGTCTTCGATCTGCGCAGCGGACTGACCTGTGCTGCAACAAAGTTCATCGAGACTATACGCACCAGTGAAATACTTGTAAACTGCATGATTCTTCGTTTCCTCGTTGCAAGATGCTCCAGGCAGAAGTACAGGATACTGCGAGGAAAAGAAGATAAGATTAATAATTGTGTAGTTATAATACTGTTGTCGAGATATGCGCGGGGGTCACTCACGTTGTACACTCTCCTGATCAATCCTTCGATCAAGCCAAACTGTACCAGCCTCCTCTCGTTTATTCGTAGATTTTGCGGATTCAGACGCTGGCACAAGTCTCTCATACTGTTGCCGTGAGTCATACTCGCATACATACGATATATATCCCTGAGATACGCAGGTTGTCTGGCTACGAGGAGAAACAGTCTCTCGGTGCATTATGTCGTGGATCGTAAACGATACTCTAACGTTTGAAAGAGCACTCACGCAGTTTCGATGCATACGTTATACATCTCTCCTGTAACTTAATATCTTCCGCGAGCTGCTTCAACTTCGGAGTTGCTGCGTAAACGTTACTGTATTGGAATATTGGGATTAGAGTCACAACCCCGTAATATCTGCAACAGAAGATGTTAGATTGGATCAGTCAGTTATGCAGTATTGAAACATGTCATCTAATTCAATTCAATCTGGATATCCTACACAAGATTTTGCACACAACTTTTGACTAGATTATTCTCTACATCAGCTTCAGCTGCTATACGTGCCACATGATTGAAACCATCAATATAAGGTAACACTTGTTGTGTAGTTAAATCCCATTGATCACTGTGAAATGCTTCTCTGCCTTCCAGAAATATCGGTACTTGATGATCAAGAACTGGTTTCGGCTCAGGTGCCAGTTTTACTACCTTTAAATGAGATGTCATTGTTCCTTCTAACAAAATATTATTGTAATGATACATATTGTTGCAGAAGATATTTCATGTGAAAATTGTTTTGCAAAAGTGGTTGCAAAAAGTTTACCAGTTAATGTGCACATCTTATGTAAATTTAAATCCTGCATGACCTGTCCAAGCATCTCTGCTAATCTGGTCTTATCATCTGAGGCAGATAAGAAACAGTTTTCTATTTCCAAAGCCATCTGACAATCATATAAATATTATGGTATATAAATTACTGTTCATAAGCATGAGATATATTAGGAAAGAGATCAAAGAAATATTACCAAAAAGTCTGACATCTTTTTAACTACTGGCTCATAATGAACTGTACGAGCTTTTGCATCACAAACAAAACACAAGTTAAAGTAAAATGCATTTCTTGCATATTTCTTATCGTCAATCTTCACAGGAAAACCCAAGATTTTATAGTCTTTTAAAGTTCTGCAAAATAAAGAAAAGTTATTGAGTACAATTTATAAAGAAAAAATTAATTTGATTCTCTTCCAATTTCATATTCTTTTAACTTACACTGTAATAGTGCTCCTTTGCAATTGTGCTTTTGGTATGATATAAACACTGACATTGTCAAAGATATCCTTAGATATAAAATTATCAGGTACCTGCAAAATAATATAATTTATGTAAATTATACAAGTAAAAGTATTTAATCATCTACATTTTCTAATGTATTTTCTCACCTGACATGTAATTTTAGGTCCTGCTATATGATGAAATTCAGAGAAGAATATACAACGTATTGGATCCTCTTGTATTTTTTCTTCCACATTTTCCGGAATCGATGTCATCGTTCTCTTGCTACTTTAACGTCGTGTAATTTCATCGGTACAAATTAGTCAATATTTTCATACAATATTCAAATATTTTTGCGCGTTTAATAGCAAAAGGAGATAAAAAATAATTGGCATTGTATATATTATCCCTTCAATAATAATAGCAGTTATGACACTCTGCAGTATGTGTAGATACAAAATATTATTTACGATTACAAGATAACAGGTGCTTCTGAATATAATTTGACGTTTCGATCGGGAATAACAACCACATCAAGGTTATATCAGAGAGTAACCTGAGAGCGGCCAATACGACATTTTCTGCGACACCGACTTTCCGCACTGGGAAAGGACGCCATCTGCATCCATTTTGAGAGGGGAACTACGATAGTACATCCACTTTCAGATCTCGGTGGTAAAATCTGCATATGGTGGAAGTCCATGCTACACCCACTTTCAGGCGGTTTATGTCCGTGCTGCATTGACAGTTGCCATCTCTATGCCAGACTATGCCCGGTGGTCTAAAAAGAGCGGGGGAGAGGGAGGGAGGAGCAGAAAAAATAAAAGTACGTATTAAATGTTAAATTTTCGAATATATATTGCCGTATCTAAGTCTCTTCTATAATAAACAATTTGACATGTATGGAGATGCATGATGTATCATTGTCCGCGTCCCGTTCACTTCGTCTTGTTTTTCAATTCAGCATCCCGTCCGCTCCGGACATTCGCTCGTGGCACTGACAGTGGTCGTCGGTGAGCATTCGATCCGCTCGGAGGAGCATGTGTTATTCACGTAATTAACGTGACGAGACTCCGATTATAAATATCCCGCGAGTTGACGAAATATTTGAACTTTTAAAAAAAGCATCAAAGAAAATCACGTTAATGTTGTCATGGGTAAAATCTCACCCCGGTATATATTTTCTTATTTTCGAAATAAAAAAAGCCAAACGAATGCAATTAAATGTTATTTATCATCATTGAATATTAAATGAAAAGTAGAAGAGTTATTGTCCGCAGCGGATAATCTCCCTCTATAAAATGTCGAACTGAAACATATTAAAAAGTATTGACATTTTGAATACGTCTGAATTCTGCTTTCTGATCCGAAGAAAGGGCAAATAAAAAGTATTAGTTCCCATTAAATTTCACCGCGCTAAATGTGAGATGGCAGTAGTGAATGCTTCGCATTAAAGCAACAGCAATCCGGTGGACGCGGATGCCGCACCGGAGGATCCGGTTCGGGCGAAGCAGAGTCGGCTTGAGGGTAAGTTTACAAGTTTACTATAGTCCTCTGTTTGACTTGGCAATCTAGAGCTGGGATATAATTTCCGGCTCGACTTGAATTACGATCGCAGAGGGTAAACTACTCTTTTACTCGCCCGCACTCGTTGGTCAAATCTGATAAGCAAATGTGAATTTTTTGTTACAGAGTTGAAGCGGAATGTGGCCGGCTCTGACTGCAAGTCGTTTCGGTGAGTCAAAATGAAAAGAGAAACAATATTCTGCATGACGGATGTGGGACTAAAAAATGTCGTTCGAGTCAATGCGAATTGTAAATAGATACTTGCATGTGTGTATTTGTGACGTTGAATAAAATACATTGCTCGAAACAATCAGGGGATTACTTGATCAATAGCCTGCATTACATACAAGATTTAAAATACTGAATGATTCTCTTTTGATGTTCAGTCATCTGAATAAGAGAATATTCATATGTACAAACGCGACGACCGACATCAGCTGCTTTATTTTTATTTTTCAAGCGGGCCGCAGAATTACTTAACGATTTAATTATTTGACAATATTCAATTGTCCGTATAAAATATATTCATAAATAAATGCCGATATCGTTAGCTACTTTTCTTTTATTTGCAAAACAGGCTGTAGAATTATTTGGCAATATTGTCCATTCATCACAATCCCTATTGTCTCGAGTAGCGTATAATGCGCGTAGAAATTGCGCCAGCGCACGCCGAGCTTGAGGTATCCTCGCTCGCGTGCCTTTGAATATCACGACCGCGGTTGTCAATATACGCGTTTTTACTCGCGTTGCTAACAGAAAGGTTGGAAAACTTTAACCTTCGATATCTCCTAAACGGTTAGAGATACAGGCCTCGGTCTGGCACCAAAATAAAGTCCTCTCAAAACCCTACATTTTGCCGTAAATGGCGACTCTCTACTCCCAGTAGAGGCGGAGATATCAACGGAGAAAGGTTGCAAAACTTTAACCTTCGATATCTCCTAAACGGTTAGAGATACAGGCCTCGGTCTGGCACCAAAATAAAGTCCTCTCAAAACCCTACATTTTGCTGTAAATGGCGACTCTCTACTCCCAGTAGAAGCGGAGATATCAACGGACAAAGGTTGGAAAACTTTAACCTTCGATAACTCCTAAACGGTTAGAGATACAGGCCTCGGTCTGGCACCAAAATAAAGTCCTCTCAAAACCCTACATTTTCGACTACATGGACGACTCTCTACTCCCAATAGAAGCGGAGATATTGACGGAGGAAGGCTGGATATCGACGGAGAAAGGCTGGAAAACTTTAACCTTCGATATCTCCTAAACGGTTAGAGATACAGGCCTGGTTCTGGCACCAAATTAAAGTCCTCTCAAAACCCTACATTTTGCCGTAAATGGCGATTTTCAATTGCAGGAAAGTCGCGATTTTCAATTGCAGGAAAGTCGCGATTTTCAATCGCAACTTTCTTGCAAACGCTTCAATGCTACGCCGTATCTTTAAGTGCAATGTTAATTTGTCATGCAAATCTATCAACACAACGAGTTTAGTCGAAATCGATTGCTATTGATCATCTCGTTGGATTCACGCCGAGAGTGAAACGTCAGTCTCGGCCGTGTGTCGGGATGCACAATCTCGGCAACGTTGCGAATCAGAGCGAGATGGAGAGAACACATTCCCTCTCTCTCTCTCTCTTTCGCTTGGCTCGTCAAAACAAGCCGAGCGGTGGGTGGGACTTCAGACGGATAGACGGGAGCAGTTTCTCTGCGTGTGTGTGCCGACTACATTCTTATATAGAAACGTACGGCAATTGAAAATGTTTAAGCATATACCCTGAGATTCTGTCTGTTGCATATGACACGTGTGTGTGTGTGTGTGTGTGTGCGTATACGCACACGTACGTCACGCACCTTTCAATGCAACACATGCACACGGACACTACTGCGCTAAAAAACGCCTGCCGGAGTATAAATAAATACTAACGTAACGCTGAAATATTTTGGAAAAATAATTTTGGGTACACACAAAATATTATCTTATCATATATTTATATATCGATATAAATCGTATATAATCTTCATGATATTAATCATATACAATCTCAATTCTTATTTTTTTTGTGCATGTTAACATGTTAATTCATGTTACAAATGCATAACAATGCGCGAGACCGTGCGTGTCAAGTACGCTATTATGGTTGTAGCACGGACATAAACCGCCTGAAAGTGGATGTAGCACGGACAGCCACCAGATGCAGGTTTTACCGTCGAGACATAAAAGTGGATGTAGCATCGTAGTTCCCCTCTCAAAATGGATGCAGATAGCGCCCATTCTCAGTGCGAAAAATCGGTGTCGCCGAAAACGCCGTATTGGCCGCTCTCAGCTTCCTCTCTGGTTATATTTTCTTCAATCGTTCTCGACTACGGAGACCTTTTACGAAAGGCTGTTGAACGTAAAGATTTATACAGAGAATTTCTTTTTTTGATATTGGTAACTTGAAGCTTATTGTACTTTGAGAGCAGTAAGTGTAATAAGTGCAGTAAAAAAATACAAACTTATATCCGCCATATTGAACAAATGTTTGAAATATGAGGGGTTCGTAGGGTTAAAGGGACAGCACGTGTTTATAACTTGTGTGAGAATATTTTAATCTGTTATATTTATTCTATTATTACCTATTATATTTAATCAATTATAACGTGTAAGAGAATATTTTAATCTATTTTATTTATATTTTGTTTTACTATATTTTAATCGATAGAAAAAACGGATCTTTGAACGAAAGAGGTTGTGTTACTATTGATATAAATGTTGCAATTTGGTAGTTTTCTAAATATTAATAGGCAGTTATTCAGGTTATGTTAAATATATAATCTGTACGTCTAATTGTTAGAGTGGCTTTTTACATCGATCACACAAAATGAGCAAAAGGAAGTTTGAAGATGATGCCACTTCAGCAGACATCGAAGTTAAGAAAGCTGCATCGGTTTTTAAATCGGATACTGGCAAACTTTTACCCTGTGGCACTTTACATTTACCAATCAACACCCCTGTGAATAAATTACAGGAGATTTGCAGTGCTCTCTTGCAACAAGAGGATCCTTTGGCATTTTATGTGAACAATGTAGAAGTTACAGACACATTGGAAAAATACTTAAAAAATGATTTTGACTTCCATGAAGATGTTGTAGAAATAGTGTATCAGCAACAGGCATTGTTCAAAGTCAGACCTATCACAAGATGTACAGGATCTATAGAAGGTTTTCAACAATTTTACATAGCTCCATTAGAACTTTTAAAAAGTATTTTCTACGGAAGATACTCTATATTTCTACGTAAGATACTCTATGTAAATTTATATTAAAAAAATTTTTGTTTTTGTAGGACACAAAGAAGCTGTTATATCTGTTGCATTTTCACCAGATGGCAAGCATTTAGCTAGTGGTTCTGGTGATACAACAGTAAGGTTCTGGGATATCTATACACAAACGCCTTATCACACATGTGAAGGCCACAGGCATTGGGTATTATGCATTTCCTGGTCACCTTGTGGTTCTAAGGTTGCTTCTGCATGTAAAAATGGATTGATTTATCTGTGGGATCCAAATACTGGGAAACAAATGGGTAAAAATTTAAAAGTTATGTTTTGTTAAGTGTGGATTTTGATATATATATATATACATATATATATATATATACATATATATATATATATATTTATTATACAGGAAAAGCAATGACTGGACATAAAATGTGGGTAACATCTATGTGCTGGGAGCCTTATCATAAGAATCCTGAATGCCAATATTTAGCAAGTGCATCAAAGGATTGTGACATAAGAATTTGGGATACAAAGAGATCACAGAATTGTCGTGTTTTATCAGGTCACACAAAAAGTGTAACCTGCATCAAATGGGGTGGTAGTGGTCTTATTTATTCTGCTTCCCAAGACAGAACCATCAAAGTATGGAGAGCAGAAGATGTAAGTATGTTACATGTGATTACAATTATCAGTAATTAGTTCAATATAATTGATTCTTTTATTTATAGGGTGTGCTGTGTAGAACCTTAGAAGGTCATGCTCATTGGGTAAATACTTTGGCTCTAAACGTAGACTATGTGCTTAGAACTGGTCCATTTAATTTGGAATCAACTAGAAACTCGGATCCACTAATATATGCAAAGAATCGGTATGAATCTATAGGTGAAGAAATACTTGTGTCTGGATCTGATGATTTTACATTATTCTTATGGAAGCCGGAGAAAGAGAAAAAATCTGTTGGTAAGCTTTGCTTAAAAATCGTGCATCCTTAAGATATATACGGTCAGTGTATGGTCAATAACAAGTTTATCATAGGAATATCTTTCAGCAAGAATGACCGGTCATCAACAACTCATCAATGATGTCAAGTTTTCGCCTAACGGCCGTGTAATTGCGTCTGCGTCTTTTGACAAGTCCATAAAATTATGGGAATCTACTACTGGAAAGTTTATTGCCTCACTAAGAGGCCATGTTCAAGCAGTTTACTCGATAGCATGGAGTGCTGACTCTCGTTTGCTAGTGAGCGGCAGTAAAGACTCCACCTTGAAAGGTAAATACAAAATTGAGTAAAATTTAAATTATTAATAAGAATGCTAACGTTAAGAGTAATGCTATATTATATTCTTGCAGTGTGGAGTATGAAGACTAAAAAGTTGGAACGGGATTTACCTGGTCACGCAGACGAAGTTTATGCCATCGACTGGTCACCCGATGGCCTACGAGTCGCTTCAGGTGGAAAAGATAAAGTTTTGCGATTATGGCAAAATTAAATTGATATAAATTAAATATAAGTGAAAAAGAAACTGGGGTAGCACAATTACTAAAACCCTGAAATATTCAAAGAATTCCACAAGGTCTCTTACATTTTTTGTTAAATTATCGCGTTTTTTACGCGTTTCTAAGGATTTCACAAAACTATAGAATTTTTTTCTGCAATCACAATTAGGAGCGAAAAGAAGTGCAGTTGAATCTAATATTTTTGAATTCTGTAGCAGTTTTAAAACCATAAACAAAATGAGTCACAGATAAGCAACTTAACAATCTAATGCATATCCTTTTAGTCCTTAACATTGGCTGCATTCAGTAGAACAAAATGATCAGTGAGCGCTTAGTGATTCTTGCTCCTGATTGGTAAATACTTCTGGGTCTATGAAGAATCTAAAAGAATGCTCCAATCACAGATAATAATCACTAAGCGCTCACTGATCATTTTGTTCTACTGAACGCAGCCATTTTTTCTCTTTGAACGGAATTGCGGAGTAGATGGAACCACGAACAAGATGAATCACAGATGAGCGATCTAGTGACATTTCTTGTAGCATCCATGAAATTACACACGGACATTTATTTCGAAGTCGACATCTGATCAGAGTTGACAAAAAATGACGTCTGATAAGTGAAAATCTAACCTCATTAATTTTATATATTTACATTGTGTATTTACAACAATATAGTACTTCCTGCAACGGCTATCATGGTAAACAAATCAAAATAATCTTTCTCTTTATATTGGCGGCGAAATTAATTTGTAATGACACACCTGAATAAATCCGCTTTTTGACACTTCTTCGCTTCGTGATATTAAACAAAATTTGTATGCAAAAGAAGATTTTAAGTAAGATACAAAAAAATATGAGTAAAATTTTTAGGACGACGATGCAGCTGCTCTACAAAATCTGGAGCAATTGATGACAGAATTTTTCTCCCCGGAGACAACTAACGAACGGAAACGTACAATTGAACGCAGTTTTCAAGAATTTACAGCACAGATTGACTCCTGGAAGCCGTGTCTGCATTTCTTATCTTCTACAAGCAATCATTATGTCAGTATGTTCGCTCTGTCCACCTTGGAGGTAATTACACAAGTCAAAAATTTAATAATAGCAGTATTATTTAATAATCTTTAGTCTGAATCATTTGACAGACAACTATCGGAAGGAGATGGCCCATTCTTCCATGGGAAGACAGAGCCCTTACAAGATCCACTTTGTATACATTATCACTGGAAAGAAGTGTAGCACCTTTTGTAAGAAATAAAGTTGTGAAGTTAGTAGTAGATATAGCTAGACATGACTGGCCACATTTCTATCCAGATTTTTACGCCAATATCTTACAGGTTTGTTGATAAAATATCCTATCATATATATATTCACAATCATTGAAAAAAAAAATATATATATATATATCGCTGTATAATATCCTTGTTTCTGCCCAATAGTTACTAGGTCACAAACACACAAGATTGCTTGGGCTTGTATATCTGAGAACAGCTTCAGAGGAGCTAGCTACACCGAGAGAGGATTTGCCAATGCATAGAAAGACAGAGCTGTTCAAACTATTAAGCTCTCATGTACCTCTAACCTTGGATACACTTACAGGTGTAATTGATATTGTTGCAGCTGAAAATTCATTATTGGATGGAAATCACTATAATCTTCTTTATTATATTGTAGTACTTCTGAAAGAGACTACAAAATTACAAAGTCGTTCCGGTACTGTTACACCCCCTCCGTCACCTACCAGTGGACAATCTCTTGCACCTATACGTGCAGTACTTGATGTTGAGGGATTAGCAACAGGCACCAGTGAAGTTTGCATAGCAACTCTTGAAGTTTTGGCACATCTATTCAGTTGGATTGATTTGTCAGGCAGTATTTCAGCCAATTTATTGGATGCTATTTTTTCATGTGCCAAGTATCATGATGCAATGGTAAGGTTTGACTTCTCAAAAGCAGGATATATATAGTAGCATATGAAAAATAGTTTTTTTTTACTTTTGACAGAATGGCAAGCAGATAGAAATGGCTGTACAAGCTTTAACTACGATTAATGAACTGCTATATAGACCACTCTGTTTACCCAATGCAGCCGACACGTTATTATTGGAAATATTTCAGCATGGTGTTAATTTATTTCAGTTAATGGAACGTCTCGATTCAATAGATGAAAGGTACATATTGAACATGTTTAGAACAAATTTCTACTTGGCATATTACTTAACATATGATATATTCAAAAGATGTTTTTCTTTCAGCTATATGGAAAAAATGACAGAGTTTTTACAACTGTTCATAACAAATCACCTGAAAAGAATGGAATCGAGTTCGAAGTTTCCAATAAATACATTGTTAGAAGTGTTGTGTCACCATACGTTTCAGCAAGCTTCCACTGTGAACGGTTATCTGCGATGTTTAGACATATGGACCACACTTTTGGAGAGCACTCAGTCACGATATTCCGCTGTAGCATTAGCTCTCGCCGAACGTGTGTTGCAGAAAATGAGCTTTAAGCTCAATGCTCGAATATTGAGGGATCTCGATACGGAGAGTTTGGATGAGAACGTAAGCGTGTACTTTTATAAATATAAATGTAGAACATATATATTAGATATAGACCAACATTTTTATAATTATTCTCACGATTACCTTACGATTTCCGTTTTCAGGAAGAAACAGAATGGCAGCATTTTCTACGATGTAATGTAGAGTGTTTGGCGAAAATTGCTGACATCTCACCTATTCCAGTATTTACATTATTGGTAATTTCTAATTGACATTTATTTTGCATTCATCTGTCTATCGTGCAAAGATACTAAAAACAGTTGTTTCAGTATCGTTCGTGGAGGGAGGAATTAATTATATTTGGGGAATTAGGTGCCGCTTTGGCGAATAATCAAGTTATTTTATTAAACGATGCGGAGGCGTCAAATGTACATACACATCTGAGAGATCTCGCATCGACTACACAAGCTTTAGCCAGATTATATTCTCTTTTCATTGGTAAGCTGCACTTTTATCAGTTTTTGGTGACTGCTCGGTTCTTCGCATTGATATAATCATTTATGCTTATAGGCGATCAAACAATCATCGATCAAAGCTTGGCCGAAGAAGTTGTATTACAGACTCTCGATGCTTGTTTGTTCGCGAGGGATAATCAGTTGTATAAAGCCGCGCTTCAGCCAGCTGCTATCGTAATAGATATTATAGAAGTGTAAGTCTTTAGCTTCGTACATGTTCTAAAACATGGCTTAATAATGAGTCAACAACAACTGTCGTGTACAGATGTTTGTTAATTATTTATATATTTGCACTACTAGACATTCACAGCTTTTGGCTTCTCTTCAAGCCTGGTGTCATTGGATAGCGAGAAGACCAGAAAAAACCAAGGAAACGCTCTGTCAGCGTTGCATTGATTTGTGCATCTGGGCGACAACGTACACCGCATCCTGCGATCAACCACCTCCGTCAAACCTAATTCATTCCGCGACTCATCTCTTTCAGAGTATCACCGCCATTTTAAAACCGATCCTATGGGACCAACCGACATTTAGGAATTTAATTTCTATGGGCACATACCCGTATTTGAAGCCAGATACGATAAAGGTTCTACGTAGAGCATTAGTAAACGGGATCATACTACCGCCCGGTGATGTGGCAACGAGGCAAAGGTTGCTAGGTGAGTTTTCACGTTGTACTTTCGTTTATAACGAACGTAATATTCGTGTACTAATTATATTTGTAGAATACCTTTAATGATAAAAATATTTGTTTTAGGTACTATGATATTGACCCTATCCGCACCTTTGGGTATGCAGGGACAACCAATGCCTTCGGAATCGACAATTTCGATAACGATTTTGCCGCTGATCCAACTGCTCGAGGACTGCGCCTCGTCGTCGACGACCATCAAGAAGATGTTGCACTCGTGTCTGGAATCTATCATAAATAGAACGTTGGAGTTACTACCTTACGTAATAAGATGTCCCAGTATATGTGAAGTGTTACTTAGCTTCCTGCATTCAGCATTCTCAGTATTACAACAACAGCTAGGTCCCGAGTTCACACAGAATGCGGTTCAAGGCATGTTACAGATTTACACCAGGTTTGTATGAGATACAAAGGAGCGTAATAAGGTTGTTTGCTTAAAAGTGCTTTAATAAGAGCATCGATATTGTCTCAGAGAAAATATTTCTGCCGGGCCTGCGTTGGATCAGTTGCTGGAGATTCTGATACTCGTAGTATCGGCACCTAGCAACGCATTTAAGGCATTTGTACCCTCGGTGACAAGTCTGTGTCTAGGTCAAGTATGGCCAGCTGTCGGCAGCAACTTGTGCGCTCATCCGGACACAACGTTGGTCTTATTGAAACTTTTCCACAGGTAATATTTCTCGTGTCAACTAATACTTATTTAATTTTTGTTATAAGCTAGCCAACTCTCGCCGCAATGACTTTTCAGTATCCTTATGCACCGTTGGCAATATTTCTATAATACTTCGGTATTGCGAACTCTCGGCCATCCGGACGAGGATGAATTTGTCGAGCACAAGGAGGAGTTGGTAGCGATTCTGGAGGCATTCGGCCAGGCTCTACTTCAGTCAGATGTTAATATATTTCGACAGAGTTTGCAGAGTCTCGAGCAGTTGAATATACGATGGCGACTCTATCAACGAGCAATCTTCAAAGTTCACCTTCTCGAGAGATTTCTCATGGCATTGTTCACAGTTTTGTTTCAACAGTGAGTACTGATCGTGATTTACTGCCGACGATGTATGTACATATTAATTATGCATCATCTTGCATTTATTCTGTATAGGTCTCACAATTTGTTGGCAGATGAAATTGCCGCGGCTATCCATAGCTTGGCGTCCGTTAACATAGGGTGGTTCTTCGGTCATTTCTTGCCAACATTCTTGGCAACTTGTGAGGGTGTAGATAATATGCAGAGAGTCACCTTACTGGGGAACTTCGATAAGTCTACGGTATGTTAATTATTATTATTATTAAATCGTCGATGTGTTGTTAAATATAAGAATGTGAATGCGAATGCACCGGGAATCGCATGAATTATGTGTAACCAATCGTTTCAGGACCAGCCAACATTGACTAGATCGGTCCTCCAACTTATTTCGGACTTGAGGTGTTATCAGCTCTGTAGGCCGGGTTGAACATAATTGCGTCTTCATGGAAGACTGCAGAATTATAATGAAGTAAATATTCCGTGACTTCTATAATGGCATTTAAATGAAGTGCATTTCCATCGAATCTCTTTTACGAGTGCCTCCATGTATACAAATACGAGACATTATTAATGATGGGGCGAAAAAAAGACAAACATTTTGTAAACATTTACCATTCTGTGTATACCACTGCCGCACCTTATTGTGATGTCGCTATTGTTATAAATAAACCGTGCGTTTTTACATGTACTGAGCCAAGTTTTTAGAGCTTCTGTTCCGAATTGGAAAATCATATCGGCGGTTCTGCATGCTCATTAAAATCGTCCAGAGGATTCTCGCGGAGCGTGTGCTGGACGCCGGTAACATCGAGTCACCGCTCGGGCAAATCACCCATGTTTACAAGCGAATTATTTGCTCGATCTTTGTCTTGCCAATTGGTATTGTCTCGGCGCGTTACACTCTCATTGTGTCGGTGACAATAACACTCTTTCCATCAGAAGAAACTTGCGACAGTCTAATGTCTCGTGACTAACGGCAAAACAATGTATTTACCGCCAAGATCTTTGTGTCAGCCAAACAACGATTTGTACAAATCTGCCAATCGGCTTGAGCCGCATCAGAGATATAAAATTATAAATATCACGATTGATATCGTGACGATAGAGTTCAGTAGAATCCGGCTTTCGAACTCAATTCTCTCAAGTTCCGCTCGGCTACCGTCGAATCTCAACAACGCGTCGCTCCGGCGCGTGATTACTTTCGCCGTCTCGTTATTGAGGCGCAGCTTCATTGTCCGCGATCTGCAAGCCGCTGTACCGGATCAAAGCAAATAAAACGCATCGGAATCGGAGACTCAAGCAAGTTATTGTCCCGAGAACAGATCGGTCCTCTCCTTTGGCTGACTCTCGTCGTCAACAGCTGCACTCGCTCTCGCGCCCAAGATCTGGGTGATCCCGGCGTTCAACGGGTTAACGATTCGGATTCAACCCGCAACAGCTTCTAATAATATACTTTTGATACTTTTCTATTTAACTTCCACTTCTCACACATATATATTTCTCTCTTTCGCTGGTTACAATCAGAAACAATTAATTTGCGATTTACCAGAGATTCAAGCAAGTTGCCAATCGTTTGCCATTTATAGCATATCAGTCTTGTTTAACTTAGATATATTTTTTCTTAAGATATTCTCGTGTTATCTTTATCACGTTTCGCCCCTCTCTTTCTCATGATAAATGGAGTCATCCTGATAACCTTAGTTTATTACCACCGACGACTCGAACAGCGGCAGAGAATTGATTATGGCGAGTCTATTGCTGAAGAAGGTCCGCAACATTTCCCAATTCCAGATGGCGAGGCATTTAGTGACTGATCCGAAGTATGGGTTTTTAAAGGAATTAGGCATCACCGCCGTAAATCCAGGACTTTATGATGGAAAATGGGGTGGATCTGGCGAGGTATACGATGTTGATTTTTTTTCCTTATCGTTATTGACATCGAGCAAGTATATTATAAAAGCTGGAGAAGACTATAAAATATTGCAAATCACGTTATGATAGCATACGAATGCAACAATAGCGATAACGTGGTAATAACTATAATCTCTATCATAATAATAATAATTTTGTGCAGGTGATAGAATCTATATCACCGGTAACCGGCAAGGTCATAGCAAAAGTTCGTCAATCCACGCCGCAGGAAGCCAGCAATGCTATCACGGAAGCACGTAAAGCGTGGTCGCAATGGGCATCTATTCCGGCACCAGCGAGAGGAGAGATTGTGCGACAAATAGGAGACGAACTCAGAAAAAACTTGAAACCGTTGGGATGCTTAGTATCGTTGGAAATGGGTAAGTTGTTTCAACGTGCACCGAAATTTCGCTTGCAACATAATTACAGTCGATCACATTTGTCGATATACTTGAGGTGCATTCATCATAATTCTGCATTCTGCATAATTAACACATCGTGTCGCAGGAAAGATATTACCGGAAGGCATAGGCGAAGTCCAGGAATTCATCGACATATGCGATTACGCGGTCGGATTGTCGCGTATGTTACCTGGCAATGTATTCCCATCAGAGAGGAAAGATCACGCGCTGCTGGAGAAGTGGAATCCCTTGGGTGTAGTCGGCGTGATCTCGGCCTTTAATTTCCCCATAGCGGTGAGTGCGACTTCAGATATTTAATTTTCATGTTTAACACCAATCTTCCTCATGTTGCCATGTGTAATGCCTCTTCATTCCAATATATCGCATCTTTTACAGGTGTACGGTTGGAACACCGCCATTGCGATGGTCTGCGGTAACGCTATCGTCTGGAAAGGTGCCTCGACCACGCCTTTAGTAGCCATTGCGACTACGAAGATAATCTCGGCTGTCTTGGAGCGTAATGGTATCCCAGGTTCTGTCGCATCTTTGGTATCGGGTGGACCGGACGTCGGGGAGACTTTGGTGAATGATAAACGGTCAGTCTCAAATTCTTATCGCGTTATATATCGCATGTAATCCTAAACTTACAACTAGTTTCATATATTGTTAGGATACCTCTAGTTTCATTTACCGGAAGCACGAATGTGGGGAGACAAGTGGCCGTTAAAGTTCAGCAACGATTCGGGAGATCCTTGCTGGAACTTGGTGGTAACAATGCGTTAATCGGTATGTATTGCCATTACAAAAGAATTCTTTATGTTGCTCGCGTGTCACATGTACGTTTATCCTTCGCCGACAGTTGCGGAAGATGCCGACTTGGAGATGGCAGTGAGAGCGGCAGTCTTCTCGTGTGTCGGAACAGCTGGACAAAGATGTACCACAACCAGGCGATTAATATTGCATCAGAAGATAAAACAGGAATTTTTAGGTAGTCAAATGCACAAAACATAAATCGAAGAATTAGAACAACACACGAATCCTTAGTGAAATTGAAGACACGCGTAAAGCGAAACGTGTGAAGTTACTTGCAAATTTTTAGGAAAGTTAAAAACGGCATATAAGAGTATCCTGGCGCGAATCGGTGACCCATTGGACGACGGCGTGCTGTACGGACCGATGCACAATCAAAAAGGGGTCGACGAGTATCTGGTATGTGCACTACAGTTGTAAAAATTATAACGCGATCGCAACGTCGTTCGAGCGAGATATAATATCCTCTCATTATAGCAAGCAATTAAAAAAGCTGTGGAGGCCGGCGGCACGATAGAATTCGGTGGTAAGCAAGTGAAGCGGCCTGGTTATTACGTGGAGCCGACGATAATCTCGGGTCTACGAGCCGATACCGAGGTAGTACAGCAGGAAACCTTCGCTCCGATTGTCTACATTCTGGAGGCTAATTCTCTGGAGGAAGCCATCAATCTCAACAACGGCGTGGAGCAAGGATTGAGCAGTAGTCTCTTTACTAAAAGTATCGGAAATGTATTTCAGGTAAACTGAGTGTGTTATAACTAATGACATGTTTAGATGATACACTCGTGAGTATAATTGACCGAATTCTTATGAAATTCTACCGTTCGTATCGCACAGTGGATCGGCCCTCATGGATCGGACTGCGGAATAGTCAACGTTAACATCGGCACTAGCGGCGCCGAGATAGGTGGTGCATTTGGCGGTGAGAAAGCCACGGGCGGTGGTCGGGAGAGCGGAAGCGACGCATGGAAGCATTACATGCGACGCGCGACGATCACAATTAATCACGGAAATGAACTACCTTTAGCCCAGGGCATTAAATTCGAGTAGATCAAGCTGGCGTTCGACTTGTTTGCTCGGATTAATGATTTAATTCGAATCGTATAAAATCCACCTCAATATCGACGGAGGTTCTCTTGTGAAATTTGTAGGCTCTCGGTAGATCGTATCGAAGCTCAGCCACTACTGTCCCTTTCGCACCGAGCTGTGCAGCTTTCGAAAGAACGTAATCACGCGTGCTGCTCTTGTGCAGCGAGTAAACTACATTGGTCGAAAGTCGAATTGCCATTTCTAAAAATTTCATGTCGATGCCGGCGTTCTTCTTAGTACCAAACGGTGGGTTCATTATAACTGTGTCAAAGTATTTTTCGAACTTTCCTGCAAAAAGTAAGATTTTATTTGTAAATCATACGATTTTTAGTAAATCATACAAACCAATAAATATATATATTAATAAATATACCTGGTAAATATTGTAATATGTCACATTGCACAATTTCCACAAAGAGTTCTATGTCTTTGCAATTGCCATTGTGTATACCAGTCGCATCTGAGTCTATTTCAAATCCAACTACATACCCGGCACCAAGCATTTTTGCACCCAATGCCAAAACGCCACATCCAGAACCTAAATCTGCTATATTTCTATCTTCTATATCATTGAACTGTGACTGTGCAGTATACAACATGTGCGACGCGATATGTGCACTAGTGGCATACTGTTCAAGTAAAACTTTTGGCTTTTCAAAAACCTCTAGCTGTTGAAGATAATTTTCTAATTGACAAAGTCGAAGGGCTGCCATTATCTTTGACCATCTGAAGATTATTGGCCATACACGACCTCTCTTGCCCAGTAAATGTTCGTAGAAATAATATAACTATTTATCAAGACTTCCACATTAATGTTACTTATTAATACTCTTTAAAAATTGTTTATACGAATTTGAATTATTTCACAATTAGTAACTCATTTACTATCAAATCTTGGAAGAACTGGCAATATTAAATTTCCAAAGGAGGAGTCCTGTGTCACAAAATAACCGAATGAAGCTGCATGTGCATTATGCAAAGCAGCTCGTTGAGATGCACTCATCGCTATGCCATCACTAGATTGTGTTGTAGACTATGAAATACATATTAACAGAATGAAAAAAATGGAAAACATAAATATTTTTAATTAAATATAATTGTCAAATTTATACTCACTATATTTGATGCAGAACCAGTTGATGAAACAGCTAATGATGAAGTCAAACTTGGCGCAACTCCTTGCTTCAAGAGCATCTGCTTTTTTAATTGCAGCTCTTCTAAGATTTTCCTATTTTGTAATTCTAAAAGTAATTAGCATAAACGGACACACATGAGTACGCTATGTGAAAAATATTATGTATATATCAGGATTACCTCTCGAATTTGATTGTGAAAAAGCCATCAAATTTACATGTGTGATTCAATTTGAGTAAAGTTCAAAATTTCCGCGAAATAAACGAAAAGTTAAGTCCACAATATAATTAAGTTAACAATACGATGTCTGTAAAAATATAACGTTAACTTCTTTATTAACAAACTTTAACTGGTTCAGGAATCTTCAATGGGTAGAACAAACAAGTTTCTCGGTTGTACTGCTGCACAGTCAGGTCTATCTCAGTCATATATTAACCGATGTTTATAAAAAAATAAATATGTGTAATTTTCTGTAGAAATAAGGGAGGTTATAATCGTTTACGTTTACCGCACACTTGACTGCAGAAGGTGCAGTTAAAAAGAGCAAATAAAGTCCCTAAAAATGTTGACCCATATTCAGAACATGCTTATAACTATGTTAGTGCGCTGTTAACTAATCAGAAGGCATATTGCGTGGCTTTTCATTGGTTAACAGCGCGCTAACATAGTTACAAGCGTGTTCTGAATATGGGCCGCACGCAATATCCAATGACATGAAATATTCTTTTTTTTTTTACATAGGACAATATAATCATTCATAAATTCATGTGTAAATATGTTACAAATTAATGACCTAATGAACGATATTCCTCCTAACTATATCTTTACTGAAAGAAGCGACTAAAGAAACTGCAGAATAAAATATATATACGTGAGAGACTAAAGCCGACTGCAGATAAAATTTAAATTAAAATACAAATCTAGTTTCCAATGCTTTTTATTACAAACTTGAGATGCGTACGCATACGTTTAATGATAAATCGAAGCAGGATATGCAATTTTTCAGACGGTACAAATTCTCTTTTCATTCTATTAGTTTTATACACTAACAGGAGATGTCGCAGGAGGTCGCGTAAATGTCGCGCGAGTCAGGCAAATTCGGACGGTGCGCGAACAACGGTGCGACTAGACTCAGCTCGACGCGGCGCATGCGCCGGAAATGCGCAGACGCCACCTCGCGGGGCCAGTCCGATCGCAGAAGTGATCCCGAGGAGTCCCTCGATAGTCGCGTCCGCCCGGTTTTCACGCGATTTTTCGTCGTTACTCAGGACATCCCCATTGCTGCTGCTCCGTGAAACAGACGTGAGTATCCGCGAAGGGGTTCCTCGTGGCGGAGCGACCGGGTGACGCCGAGTTCGCGCTCGGTCCTCGGCGTTTGCGAGACGATGCGGCGCGAGAAACCTGAGAACGCGACTTTACACAGACGGTCGCTGACGGGTTCTCTGCAAAGATGGCCGTGCGCGATTTACAACAAACGGTTGTGCGGCGCGCTCGTACCATGACTCGAGTCACGCGCGCGTCGTTTGTACGCGACGTCGATCGCGTCTCGCGCTGTCTTCGAGCACGTCCGCGTACGCCTCGTCCCCAGGAGCCCGCGTCGTCGCGACATTACGGATTTTCTGTCGGGCGGCCGCGCGCGCGAGAGAGTCCAGCATGCCCAGTCCTCTCGGAACGTATACGCGCGTCGCACGTCACCGAACGCGAATTGATTTTTTCGCGAGTAACCGCTGGCTGGTTGGCCTGCAGGCTGTGTGGTTCTCGCACGGTTCTACCTCGTCGCGGCAACCACCGGTCGTAGGTTCTCTCCGTGCATCGCGCACCTTTTTACGCGGACCTTCGGCTGCGTGTCTCGAACGCGCAAGCGACCTGCAGCGTCTTTATCATGTTCGACAACTTGCGCTCGCGTTGCGCGATGATGCTTCATTGACAAACTTCTTCGACGCCGCGCGATCAGCTGTCACCGCTTCCTCTCTCTCGCTCTCTCTCTCTCTCTCGCTCTCTCTCTCCCTCTCTCTCTCTCTCTCTCGCTCTTACTCTTCTCCGTCAATCGAGGACATGCAAGCGAGTCCGAGACCTCCAGAGACGTTCAACATCATGATCGATCGTGTACGTGCCCTTCATCATCGCCTTCGTCAGTCAGCGCACACTCCGGGGGATGCTGCGACCGTGTCGTTTTTCTCTGCGAATCGCGGCGAATTCCACGAGCGTTCTCATGATGAAGAGCATTTCCCTTCCTCGAGAGGTCGTATCGAGTTCTGGGAATGCTTCGTGTCTCCGGAGAGGTCACCATCGGTGTAATCGGAGATCCCAACCACCCCGAGAGAATGGTCGGGAGTGCCTTCGACGCGCCGGTCAATGCTTCCTCGAGATTACGTTCGTCTCACTGAGTCATTGTCACGTCGGTCTACTTGTCATAATAACATCGGTCTATCTCACTTTATCTCGAGAATAATTGTCAGCGTCAACCTTCCTCGTTGAATTGTACTTTTTTTTTCCAGATACGTGTACAAGCGATACCGATGACGCGGTTATTGCCGCGGATAGAGAATCGTTATTCGCGCGAGTTGCCTCTCGGTGCATATCATCAATTCTCCGAAGAGGGACGATCGTACGAAACGTGACTGTCAGTGGGCTCGTTGGCTCTCACTTCCGTGTTTTGTTCCATCTCGCTTGTACCGCGGCTGTGCCAAAAGCCTCGGTCTTGCCTAACTGCACTCTGCGCTGACGATTTTTGCACCCGCGTTACATACTCAAGCAGAACGAATCGTATACATTTGCCGCGGTCACAATTAAGCTGCGATGTCTCTCTCCTTTTCGGGGATAAGATAAACGATAAGATTCCAGATACCGTTGAGTTTCACACGCGTTAATTAACTCGGAGTCTCTCGTTCGCGCATTGATTCACCTCTCGACGAAGTCGCGCGACACGCGTCATTGTTGCGATGCTCCTTGCGCGAGGTAGAAAGTGCAGCTCCCAACATACGTCGTCAGCTGAACTCGTTTGAGGGTCGGTCGACTGGTCATCGGGTTCACTTGGCGCCCGAAGCGTCAAACATCAAAATAAGCTTGGATCTCGCCGGTGAATCACGTTGTAAGAATCTTTTTGTCGCCGACTTGCACCGGACAACCGTGCGACTTTATCGAGGGGGGAGAGGAAACGGAACGAGAGAGATTTTGAGGATCCTCAGGAAATCCGATCTCCACGATCTACCCCGAACTCTCTTCTTTTCTCTCGTCTTTGTCGGTCGGTCCGTTTTCGGACACGGTAACACACTATGTCCTTCCATGCTTCCTCTGTTCATATCGTTTCCAGCTCCCTTGACTGATCGACGATCCTGCGGCCGGCGGATAGCGATTCCACGCGTGTCACCTACGTAAACGGATTAGTTAGAGAAAGAAGAGCGAAGCCACAGGTAGATCGAAGCGCGCGCGCGCGCGAGGTCAGGAAAGTCGGCAGGCAGTCACTCACCTGGACCGATGATCCCGGAAACGTCGACTGTTATAGAGCGTGTGCGAGCGATCGAGATATCGATCGGCGGCTTGTAGAGAATCGGACTGGCTGTGATAAGAATTCGTACGCACGTCGTGGACTTGTATCGAATAGTATCGAAGGTTCTGCCTAAACGTGAGTACTTACCAAGACGTTTGGTTGGAATCTCCACGCACGAAAATGTGCGAAAAGACGACTTGGCGAGCAAACCGACACGTGTTTAGTGCCAGATTATACTTTAATTTATTCATAACATATTCGCGTGCGTTATCTTTTACGTTTATTTGTTTTAAAGCTGTCGAGATGAACACACGATACTTCTGAGAGCCTCGTATCTTGACCCGAGGACCCGTCTAAAGTCGAGTGGACAAAATCCGCCGAGGAAAGCCTTTATTGCTTTCCACTGCAGTATGCGCACTATCGCGCCAGCAAGGACATCTCGTCTGGAATTATACACTTCTCGTTTATGCAAGTTTCGTGATACGCGGCGATACTTTCAACTATTCGCAGCGTGTGCGTTTACGCGCGCGCAGTCCGCGAGTTCCAGTTTCTTTTTTCCTTTTCAACAAAGTATCGTACTTTCCGCCGACGATGACTAATAAGTATCGCGTGTGTATCGCCGCACTCGCTGGCGCCCCATTCATACCTCGGTTACGGCCGCGATATGGGATGCCCGTTGCACGGCCCGTTGCATCGTTTTATTATCACGCGTTATTGCGTTTGCACTCTTACCGGTTGCGCACTTAATCGCTTTGTAATTTTGTGCCTCATCTTTTATTATTGCCCGATGGATCGACTCGCCGCCGATTACAGAGAGAGCTCTTCCCCGTGGCCACTTCAATCATATAACATCGCGGTTTTTAACGTTACGAGCGTGTCGAAGCAGAAAAAGAGGCCGATATGAATATTTAAATGCACCGCGCAAGGCGAAAATATACGCGACCGCTGCGGGGTGGGCGTACTGTGCCGGTTTATCGATTACGGCGCATCGCCATCGTGAAGCGGCGTCGCGACGACGCTGCGCCGACGTTCCGTGCGCCTGTTACGATTGTCAAGGTCCTTCCTCATGATTGTTTCCTCCTCGGGAATGGTGTTTTCACCTCAATCGGGATCAGCCCACGTCCCGTAAATACACCGATAATCTACAGGGAGATAAAAGCTTCGCTGTCTCTCGATTGCAGCATCGAACCAGCAAACGAACCAATGAAATTCTGGCGAGCGTTTGTTTCAACGTTTACTTCATAAACACAGCAGAAATCCCTACGAAGCAAGGATTCGCGAGAAGGATTTCGAATCTAATCTCTCGTATTTTCGGCGAGACAGCCCGTAGCAGCTGATGCATCATTTGACGATGCAGCCGCAGCGCGTGATGCTTTATATTACGCTGTTAAATTCACAGTGACTCTCGTGCAGAAGCATGCTCGTGTGAGCGTTGCGATCTCGAGCTTCACTTTTTACCGCCTTTCCCTTTCGCGTACTCTTCGTGCGGCGAAAAGTGCTATCGATCTCGGCGAAATCGCGCTCCAAGTCGCTCTAAGCTCGCCGCCACGAGACGGCCGGCTTTCGTGCGACGAAAGCTCTCTCGCGAGTGGTTCCGCGAGCAGGCGACACTGATTTCGCAGCGCGAGCGACCTGCATCGGGTTTCTCCGACGATGGAAAGTAAAATAAACCACGACATTGATTTCAGGCGTATTGTGTGCGCGCGCGTTACATTATCCCGCGGAAACAATTCGGTACGCTCGACTCTCGCGCGAGAGTTCCGGCCGCGGGCGCGTTTAGTTTTCTTTTCTGCGGTAGAAAAATATACGCGAGCTGACGGCGCGAGGCAGCAATGCGCAGCTCCGATCGCGGAGAAAATTCGCAGATACGATTGATGCAGTTAATACATGGATATTACGTCAGTGTTATATTGAGAACATACATATATAGTCGATGCAATATTAATATATTTTCATATTTCTCGCACGCTCAGCAGCAGCGGAGAATTTGTCGCATATTTTTTATCACGTACAGCTGACGTGATGTTCTTTTTTTTGTTGCAGGCAATGTTGATGGCGGGGCAGTGAGAGGTCATTGAGAGGTGACTGGAAGATCTAGTCGCGCTCCACGGAATCACCATCGAGGTATCAGCGAGGTCACACACGAGGATCATGAAAATGGTGCTGTCTCAACGTCAGAGGGAGGAGTTGTAAGTTGGCTTACCGCTCGATAATTCTCTCATGAGCTTCGATTCACCATTTCTATTTGCCCACGTCACGGCACATGTCTTCTTCCCTCTCATGGCGCTCTTAACAGATGCTAGCTTCCACTGGTCTCACAGCTGGGGATACCGCTATCTCTATCTCTCCGTTTGACTTTCACGGGGGTGGCACGCGAATGCGTGCAGTCCGGGAACGGATCAATCGAGGAAATACGCAAGGTTTCCCTCACCACCGCGCCAACGCCAAAGTTCCCCTTTCAGCTTCTCTATGGCTCTCTCAATTTTTCTTCCATGTCGCGTAGAAAACGCGTAGGGGGGCTGCTTGGAAAATTGTTATCGCGAATACGCTATCGCGTTGTTGCAATCGCTGAGAGCTACCTTGGCATCCTTAGCTGGCATTGAGCATCGAGCCGCAATGAACTAACTGTGTGTAATTAGTTCGTTACACATTTTGCATAATCGTGGGCGCAGCGGTATGCGGGCGTCCGTTCTGCGGCAGCCGCTCTTGAATTTTCTCAAACCTCCAGCCTTCGATTTCACACGGAGAGGTACGGGTGGCTGCTAAAGGCTTTGACGTTATACATGAGTCATTCGACGCGCGAATAACGATCTCCGCGAGCCGAGAGTTCTCTTCAACGCGCGCGAGTGTGCTTGTGTGACTGTTTCCCGTGTTCGAACGTCTCGTCGTGCGTATTCGAACATATCGAACAGCACCGCTGTCGCTGTCATTATCTCGCTATGTCCCAATTCATGCTTATCTTCCGATGGAACGCACCACGGTTCGCGCAACACTGGTCATTTCTCTCTCTCTCTCTCTTTCTTTCTCTCTCTCTCTCTCTCTCTGTCTCTCTCTCCCTCTCTCTCTGTCTCTCTCTCTCTCTCGTCCTCGACAGCCCGATAAAATATTGAGGCATTCGAGGCCCGCCTTTCTTCCCTTCCATCTTGAATCGAGTAGCGTCCGATGTATGTTTAGGATATAATTCTGAGGTATTCGGAATGCAGATTTATCTGAATGTAATATCCAATACAAAATATATAAATTTAGCTGTTTCCCGAGGAGCGTTATCAGAATTGCTCGATACTTTCAGCGCTGTTTTCCGTGACTTAAATATCGCGATTCTCACGAAAGGTCGTTCGAATCAACGTATAAATTGTACTTCTTGATTATTCAAGCGATCATATATAATTGATTTACTGGCGCATTTTGCCTTTTCCCGCACGTAGACGATGACGATGATGATTAAACGGGGACACCGTCATCGATTGTATTCTCGATCTATGCCGGTTTATTTCCTATGACGCAAAATCGCTCGTGAATTGTTCTTGCTGGGGCGCGTCAGTGTGGGGGTGTCGGCGAGGAGGGTGTCTGTCGAGCACGCGCGAACTGCGGATCGATAACTGCACGGAATGAGTCGTCGGCGGCGGCAGCGGTGGTGGTGGCGGTGGTGATGGCGGCGGCGGCGGCGGCGGCGGTGGCGGCGGCGGTGAACTCTCGGAGCAACCCTTGGAGCGAAGGGAGAAAGAGAATGGGATCGAAGAGAAGAGAGGGGGGAGAGAGCGAGTGAGAGAGAGAGAGAGAGAGAGAGAGAGAGAGAGAGAGAGAGAGAGAGAGAGAGACTCGTGGCCCTTTCTGACTGGAAGGAGAGGGCTCTCATCGATTAGCACAGGTGTCCTATTGCATCCATGTTACTTTCTTCAGCCCTTAGGGGTTGCACATGTAACTTTTAACAAATGACCTCGAACGTGTGTGACTTCCGGGCTTCCTGTAAATTGAGACGGGATGGCGATTAGCATTGTCGAAGGAAACTTTTGGACAAAGCTTTGTTTAACGGGACACCGGCGATCACGGTGATCCATCATTTTCTTAATCCGGGAAACTGGATAATCAGAGCGTGATTGTTGTTTGGACCAATAATCTGGATACGAGTCCAGTGCGAATGGAAAATATCGTGGCTGCGGAATTGTAACTTTCCGGTAGTGGTGGTAAATGTGATGAATGAGAAAACGTTCGAAGCTGCAACGTTCACGATATTTTCCATTGATACTAACGACTTATTCTCGCATTGTTTCGTGTCCATGCCTGACTGAGATTAAATTCAATTTTAATAGAAGGCTTGCAATATTGCAGACGAGAAAAATGGTCCGACGTAGGCTGAGAGCGTGCTGCTCGCTCTCGTGAGGCTTGAGCGTAATAGATACAGTGAGGCCAGACGGTTTCACGGTGATGTCAGCGTCCGTTTTATGCGCAAAGGGCCAGACGGATAAATTACCTTCCGTTTCCCGCCTTCTTCAAGTATCCGTTTTCACGCAGTTCGTCTCAGATCGCGGAACAAGGGTAATCGCCTGAGGACTCCTTCGATCCGCACGTTCTTCGGCGACCCGGCACATGTTCCTCGCATAATTCATCGCACGCTGCGGCGCGCGAACGAGGGAAAAAAATTCAACTCGACTAAAGTTCTATTGTACCGTTATATTCGCCGCTGCTGTTGCTGCTGCTGCTGCTGCTGTTGTTGCTGCCGCCGCCGCTTCTCCTTCCGACCTTTGTATACGAGCATCTCTCGTCGTATCTTGGTAGCGCAATCTCCTAGTCTCTCCCTCGACTATCGTTCCATCTTTAATTTATGTAACGAACGAAGAAAGGAGAGGCGATAGATAAGAGCGGCGCAGAGCAAGGCAGGGCACAGTTGATCGCCGCAGGTGTTTCTCGCATTCGTTATGTACTACTTGTGTTTGAGGAACATCGGCGGATACGGCGTTATCCGCGTTTCATTTCGAGATGTACGCCGCTCGATAGAGTCACTTCTTCTCCTCGACCTCTCGGACGCTCTCTAGAAGGGCATTATCTCCGATGAAATGCATTCTCAGATATTTATTGCGGGCGAACGAGCACGCGCGGCAGCGAATGATACAAATGCACTCTCATTTCTCTCGTGATGTCGTAGGAACTCGCGCGTAGGATGTCGCGAGTAGATCGCCGGTGATTATGTATTCTCGGATACGAGGCGAGAGAAAATATTCCCGCGCGAGAAAGTAAATACGCTCTCGGCCCCGTGACAACGTAATTTACAAATCGACCGGGGGAACATATAAATATCGCGCGAGTCCGTTAAGTGAAATAAGTCTTTCGGCTCTCTAACAATGCGAATTCCAACGCGGTGGCTCTACACCTCGCCGCTTTGGAATAAATTAAACCTTGCTCTCCCGCTCGCGTATCGATCATCGGCATCGGCGGCGAATTTCGAATGCCATAACTTTCGCATGGTTGCGCGAGAGTTGCCCCCGCGGGCGAAGTCGTCGCCGCGCGCGAGAAACGCGGTGATACGCTATTAAATATTACACTACACGTAACTCTCTTCGCGGGAGAGCGATTCGTCGTAAACGAGATTCTTTCTGCATCACATCTTCTTTATCAATTGAGTTCGTCCGATTCGATATTAAATTCCACGAAATCTTCCTTCTACTTCGTCCTGACGACCGGCATTTAATCTCCTCCGGTAGTATAATTCGCATTTCTTTTTTCGCTTGTCTTTGTAATTATTTGTGCTCACTCGTTGTTTGAGAGGTGCATCCTGGTTTGGAGATGTACGTACATTTGTGCGCCTCAGATTACGCGCATGTTCTCAGGAGAGACTTACTTATTCCAGGATATCAATTATCCATCCTCGATGGCTTGTTGAGATTACTCCCGAGCGGAGCTCAATTATTCGGATTATCAGTCGTTTTCCACTCTCGCGCGAGCTCGATGAATCGGCAGGAATGTCTGAGGGACGACAGGTGAGTGCCTTCCGCACTCACGGAGACAATGATCCCTACCTCCCTATCTCCTTGAACTATTCTTTTCCACTTGTACATCGCGGCACACCTGCCGGCGTAGCGGGCGTTATTGTGCGTGCGCGATATGAAGTTTCTCACCGGGATACACGGCCGCTTCTTACGAATCGCTTCTCCGTCATTATCCGCGTTTGTGGTCCCCTCTGAATTTTCCGCGAATCACGCGCGTAATTAGCCGCGCGTATACGAATTACGATATTACAGCGTTGGCCAAGACGCATTTGCGATATTCTGTACTTATTATACCTCGACTGCAATTAGCGACAGATAAATCTCATTAGTCGCCGATGGGAATCTCCAGTCGCGAGGAACGCTGCGAAATTATTGATACGCCGGTCTTCTCGGCGATGCCGCTCGAAATTGTTCTCCGCTCGCCCGCGCTATTGAGGTTTGTGTTACACGTTCGTTTACTATTGATCATGCGGGCGAGTGAACCGTTAACTTACCGCGTTATCAGCTAACATGTGATCGAAATTGATTCTTAGAAAAATAGAAGCGTTCTCATGTGACCAGTGACCGGTATGCGAGAATCGTGATTGTTGCGAAGATTTTTTCCCACTGACATTTGTAAAGATGCAATTTCACCCACATCTCAGGCTACTTATAATTTAATCTAATGCAAGATGCATTAATATACGACGCGAATGATTTTTATCTTTGGCATGCTTGATGATGTATTCTCCGTTTCAGCATCTCGTGTTTCCCAAAGAAACGCGCGATCCTGCCGTAGAATCAAAGTGAGAAGAATGAGTTGGTTCATTAAAATGAATGAATTCGAAGCCGAGGCGGAAGTAAATAGAGGGAAAGAATCGTCAACGCGTGGTTACGGTAGCGAACGGTACTGCTTTCCGCTCAGGCGAGAAATAGCTTCGCGCTTCTCCCGTCTTTTCTTCTTTTTCCGGGACCATGTGCATCTGTGCGGAATTGCGCGCTCCTACTCTCGCGTGCCGCGTGTGCCACGCGGCGGCAAGTTGTTGCAAAACAACAAGAATCGGGCGCAAATTGCGACCGATACTTCGCTATCACGTGGAGAGTCAGGTGAATAGAGACGGACGGACGACCGACCGACCGACTAGCGAGGCCTTTCACCCTGGCACAAGTTTGCCCGACTTTCAATCTCTTTCCCACGTATCCGACAACCTGCGGCCTCCTCGTCCTCCTCCTCCTCCTCCTCCTCCTCCTCCTCCTCCTCCTCCTCCTCCTCCTCCTCCTCCTCCTCCTCCTCCTCCTACTCCTACTCCTCCTCCGTCCATTGTATCGGTGCGCAGGCACAGCATTTTATCTTTATCTGCGTCATAAACAGACGGCGATCAGTCGGTTGGCCACTAACGTGAAACAATTGGAGATTAAAGCTATCGTACAACACACGTCGCTCACTACTACTCCCTCTCAGTCCCCCGCAGCTGTACCTGGTGGGAAAATGAATACCGATGAGGAACACTTGCGTCGAAAGTAAAGTTCGACGATGTGTCCGCCGCTCAAGTCTCCTGTATGCGTACAAAATTGATGTGATCAATTTTGTCTCTCACAAGAGCACATTTTTGTGATTCCAGAAATAAGGCGATCGCGGATTACCTTAGCACCAATGGCTATCAAGATGCACTGGAGGCATTTAAGAAAGAAGCCGATATGCCGGGGGAAGTGGAGAGGAAATACGGGGGTCTCCTGGAGAAAAAGTGGACTTCGGTCATACGATTGCAGAAGAAGGTAAAAAAGCCTTTCTTTATTCGATTCTGTATCTCCTCGCCTATATAGAAAAACTCTTCGATTTGATGTGATACGTTAATTCAAGTCTCTGCTCTCGAATTCATCCGAGAAACACTCTCTCCCGCAGGTAATGGAACTGGAGTCTAAACTCTCCGAGGCGGAGAAGGAATTTATAGAAGGCGCACCGACGCGCGGCAAGCGATCGCCGTCCGAATGGATACCGAGGCCGCCGGAGAAGTACAGTCTGACTGGACACAGAGCCCCTATCAATAGAGTTATTTTCCATCCGGTTTTTAGTCTTATAGTATCCGCCAGCGAAGATGCTACCATTAAGGTGAGGATCGGTCGAACGTTTCGCCAGATATCAACGTTTACTTATATTTAGAACTCGGATCGAATGTTCCTCATCATATTCATCACATCGTTCGCTTCCCCTTCAGGTATGGGATTTTGAGAGTGGCGAATTCGAGAGGACACTAAAAGGCCACACCGACAGCGTGCAGGACGTCGCGTTCGACGTCTCGGGCAAACTGCTCGTCTCCTGCAGCGCGGACATGTCCATCAAGCTGTGGGACTTCCACCAGTCGTTTGCTTGCGTGAAAACCATGCACGGCCACGATCACAATGTCAACTCCGTCGCGTTTGTGCCACAGGGTGACTTCGTAGTGAGCGCCTCTAGGGATAAAACCATCAAGATCTGGGAAGTAGCGACGGGATACTGCGTGAAGACGCTCGTGGGACACAGGGAGTGGGTAAGAATGGCGCGAGTCAGCCCGTGCGGCGAGCTCATCGCCAGCTGCTCGAACGATCAGACCGTTCGTGTATGGCACGTGGCGACGAAGGAGACTAAGGTAATTCATTCAACGAGGCGATTTTTCCTAGAAAAGTATAACATACGGTTGCGTTCGATTAGAAAAGTTTCTTGTTGAAGAATATCTAGTTTATTTGAATACGCGCTTTATCAGAGAATTTTGTGACAATTCCACATTCATGTGTAAAACTGCAAAAATGTGTAAAAACGCAAAACCGTTGGTCGATCATCAGGTCGAGTTCAGAGATCACGATCACGTAGTGGAATGCATCGCATGGGCGCCCGAGAGCGCGCGAGCATCGATCAATGCGGCGGCCGGAGCGGACAACAAAGGCGCACACGAAGGACCCTTCCTCGCGTCTGGTTCTCGAGATAAGATGATTCGCGTATGGGACGTCGGCGCCGGGGTGTGCCTCTTTACCCTCGTCGGACACGACAACTGGGTACGATGCATCGTCTTCCATCCTGGCGGCAAGTTTATCGTCAGTGCGTCCGACGATAAGACGCTGCGAGTCTGGGACACGCGCAACAAACGAGTGATGAAGACCCTCGAAGCGCACGTTCATTTTTGCACTTCTGTCGGTTTGTATCTTTCGCTTTCAGCTCGAATCAATATATCTATCTTACTTTTTCCTTCCCTCCCTCCCTTTTTCTTTCTCATTTTTGTATTTCCCTTTTTCTCTTCGGTTTTAATACCGGTTAAAATACATGAACACGAGCGGTCGGTTTATTCACTTGTAATTTACATACTATAGATTTCCACAAAAGCCATCCTTACGTGGTCACCGGGAGCGTCGATCAAACGGTGAAGATTTGGGAGTGCCGCTAGTCACCGAATTTTAGATTTTCCGTCAGACGTTGTGTGGAAGAGAACGGACGTAGAAAAAAAAAAAGAAGAAAATGAAATGAGAAAAGACGAACGCGCGTCCATTTTTGATGGAATCGGCCGAACGAGTAAGCTTCTACAAAAGCTATCGTATACATGCATTAATATTAATATTATTATTATTATATATAAAGAAAAACACACATAAACACGTATGATTAAGAGCTCTTTAATTAATTTATAATAAAATATAATTAGAATAATTATCATAATATTATAAACATCGTTTTACGGCAATGAACTGCACTAAAATTCGAGGAGAGTGAATCGAGAGACGGTCAATACTATAAGGATCAAACGATCGAGAGGACGCTCCCCCGAGTTCTCGTTACGACCTACGGCTACGTGGGGTTATTAATGCCATATACAATTACAAGAGTTAAATAATTCCTTTTAGACAGTTGTGCAATCGTAGGCATTATTCTGTACATATACGTGTCTTCGCGCAGCACGAAATTTAACGAGTCGATGATCGATGTACGAGCCGCCCAGTTTGATTTTCTCTTCTCGCCCGCTTATTACTCGCTATTATATCCGTTGAAGTATTAGTTACCAGCTGTCATACATATACACACGAGCAAAGAGAGAAAAAAAAGATCGTCCTCTTCGATTATGATCTTATGCGTGTTTAATAAAAACGTGTCGAATCTCTTTTTAACTTGTCGACGGTGGCGAAAATTTCGGCTGTGGCGTCACCTCTTCCGCGGTAACTATAATTCGTTGTCGATATATCTTCGCGCGCTCTCCTCGAGAGTTTTTGAGAGTAAAGAAGAACGGGATATGCTGCTCCTTCTTCATTCAATATGTGAACATATACATACACAGAAACACGAAACACACACATACACACGTATTAGACGCGCAGCGTCTTTGTGCAAAGTACCGAGTGTCAATGATCGTCTAATATCGGCTCACGTGTACCCTTGATAAGTATTGAGTTGTCACACATATTGTCGCATTAATGAAGATTCGTTTCGGTGGGACACGTAATGTATAACGTAGCTCGTAAACGAGTAAGTTGCAAGGAAAATGATATGGTAGTACGAATAAGTAACGGGATAACAATGCAAACTGTCGCAATCGAAATCGGCTACCCCGTTCGTTGCACATTTGTGTAGCGGACTCTGTCGAAAGAACGTGTCCCTTGGCTACGATGTGTAAATTTCATTATATTACATATATTTATGTATAATTGAATCTCGTGGAGCCTGTAAGATGTCGATCGCAATTTGTCCAGAGGCTTCGCAATCATACACGCGACATTTGAAAATTTAATTTTGTCTCTGGGAAACATAAATTTTTCGGGAAACGAGAGTCGTCGCTCTTTACGAGGCTTTATTATAAAAGTATGCTCAAAATGAAGAACTACGAAGATGAAAGATAGATTTCTCGCCACATACTTGGCGTTCAATCACCGTGCATTATTAATAATAACGATATATTACAATAGGCACAGCCGAATATATATGTATAGAAAGAGAGAGAGAGAGAGAGAGAGAGAGAGAGAGAGAGAGAGAATGTACGACACACATTGAAATTTAAAACATTCGAGCGATAAGCTGGTGGAAGACTCGCGCGTAAAGTGTAACGCATACTACATGTACGGAAATTTTAGAGCGCATTAGTTCATTGCGTGGGTTCCAAGAGAGTTACTAGTTGTACTTTTTAGTTCTAACTACTACTTAGTAATAGCGAAGACATATAAAATGTAGACGATAGAAGGAAATAAGGGAATAAACTGAAAGAGACACGAGAGTAATTAACAGTTGATCGACACACACGACCACGAGACACGTCCGATCTTCAGGCATCGGTAAGAGAAATGATATTCCTTACGTACGTGCGAAACGAAAGCAAGCAAGAAAGAAAGAAAGAGAAAACATGCAATCATTAATCGACAAAACGCTTGACTAAGGGTGATCTTTTCAAACGGTACACTCATTGTCTGCTACCTTTTTTTCCTACTGTTTCTCCCTCTCGTTTAGCCTTCAGCCAAGTAAGAAAACAAACCCCCTTGAAGATAAGATGCCCCTCACTTAATGTGGTACTAAATTATTTTGATGAATAATAAACAGAGTTGTCACTGAGTCGTGTGATCGTTATGCTATACATCACCTATGATTCACATCGTTTCTCAGAACAGCGTAATCTCTTTCTCCACGTTTTACAGGTCGCCGTGTCTTTAATTAATTCGTTCAATTAGTCGTGAACGCGCAATTATTTTCCGTTGCTCGCGACCTAGAATTTTCGTAGTCTCTTGATTAAAAAAGCAGTAGGCTTAAGTCTCTAAAAACTCTGCACACAAGTATGTATTAATCTACATTCATGACAGTATTTTATAGTACGATTAGAACAGGAGTAGCAATATAGTATATTGTAAGTGAGAACGCATTACCAAACATCTATTGTGCGTGTTTATATTACGTAGATGATGTAATAAAAGTTATGTTATTAGTCGCCTTTCATAAATTCGTCATCGATGGCTTCTGCCACTCTTATCGCTTTCCACCTGCTTGGGAAATTATAATACTTGGGAAATACCAATAAGTAGTTCTATATAATAAAATATTATTCATCATTTGTGATATACAGAGTGTCCCGTAAGTCGAGGTCAATCTGTCTTGTTTTTGGGTCTCCATTCATCTCCTGAGCGATTGACTTTGACTTACGGAATACCCTGCATATTAGGGGGTTGCATTAAAGGCCGCGGTTTTTTTGTGTTTGAGCATTTATTTGAATAACAACATGTATGAATACATCAATCAAAGTATTTGCCTTCGGAAGCTATGACTCTTTCCTACTTTTTCGGCAGAATTTGAATTCTGCGACGAATGGTCTGTCTTTTGAGCCAATTCATTCAGCAACCCAATTTTTACAAAACCTTCAAAAGACGTCCTTGAGATGTCTTAAGGACGTAGGGATGTCCTCAGGATATCTTTAAGACGTCCTTTGGACATTTGTGCTGTATGGGCCGGATCTTCATCGATTGCTAAATGTTCGTTGCGTTGGTGCGCACGATTTAGGCTGGCAGGTGAGTTCATACGTGATAATACAATCGAAGCATCATTGAAGACGAAATTTACAATTTTGATAATAATTAAACGTTAAAAGAATGCTAAGAATATGAAAATAGCTAAAAAAAAATTTCAATCTTTGATCAATCATATGCAAAAATTGTTTCAAGATTTCCAATCTCTAAGAAGCTTTTTGTGTAATCAATTTTTGGTCAATGGGTAATTAACGGTACAAACGGATCGCTTTGTACAGGTATTCAATAGGACGGAGCATGGGCTCCATATCCCTATAAGAAAACGTAACCCACGAATAATGGAAGTGAGAAAGTAATCGGAGAAAGTTTAGAGACGATAAAGGCCGGTATTCATACTCAGGTCTTATATTGAAACCATCTTAAGTTCTTTTTTAGATACCCCATAGCCAATGAAATGATTTATACAGCATTTGAAGATAAACTTAAGGCGGCTTAAATATAAGATCCGACTATGAATACCGGCCAAAGAGATAAAGAGAATAGAGAGTGTATAAAGTATAACAATATTGAACAAGAAAATGCCCCGAAAATGTGCTATATGCGAATAGGTGCAAAACAATGATGTGTCATGTAGTCTATTCTTTTTAGCTGCATTGCTAAACTGGCGCATTGAGTGAAAAAAAATATAGTTGTCTCACTTTAACTATTGCACCAGTTCAGCAGCTAAAAAGAACAGACCCATGATTATATATATTAATTTATTATATGTATTAATTTCTTTCATTTCATTTATTTTCAACATAATATTCACTTAAAAAATTTATAATTTCATTAATTAATGAACCATATAACAATTTAACTTGCGTAAGTAATTTGTACTAATATTCGTAATATGCCTTTTTTATAGGAATTATGCAGGCGCAAGAAGATAATGAGTCTGTTCTTTATAACTGCATTGCTGAACAGTGCAATAAGTTAGAGTGAGAAAAAATATAGTTATGTCATTTTAACTTATTACACTAGTTCAGCTACAAAGAACAGACCCAGAGAGACAAAGAGAGACAAAGAGAGAGAGAGAGAGAGAGTGCGCATGCACTTCTTACTCTGTCTTACTCCCATTATTCGCGAACTTCAGCCGAAAAACAGCCTGCTCTGTCTATTCGTACTACGTTTGTGTGCATACCACGTAACATCGAAGCAATAATATATTGCAATATTAGAAGTATCATCGAATATTTTATGTTTATTCTGTGTAATAATTTTCCTATAGATCTGTTCTCTTTAAAGAATTACTATTATTGTGGTCACGAAAAATTAATTCCGTTAATAGTGAGAACCGGCGAAAATGGGTTAGTGGTTGCCGGCTTTGTCCTCGTGACGGGTCCGGTATAACAAAATTGTAATCGAGTTTACATATTTGATATTTTGCATTCATTTGATGTGCTTCTAATTCACAACGGAAACACGAGTCAAGTGAAAATGGCATCGCAGGAGAATGTCCAAAGCAGTCTGCCCGACACACAAAATACGGACGCTGTTTTATTGACACAATCCCAATCACAAGATGGGATGAGCAATCAACAAACATTAACTGTCTGGGGAAGACTGTGCGCATTAAGACCATTTTTCCAAAATTTAAGTATGTACTTGTGTTTATGTAGGAAGGATTTATGTAGTAACAAAATATATGATAGAAAAATATCTGATAAAGAAAATATGAAATTAAGAAATATCTAAAACAATATACATCACAATATATGAAATTTTATGAAAAATACTTTTTTTTATTCCCTATATTTAAATTTTGTCAGGTATGTCTGGAGATATGTATACTGTGGGGCGTTGCGAGACTTGTGATATTCGCCTGACTTCAAAAATAATGCGTGCAAATTGGTTGAGTGTAACCAGTAAGATACACTTTCGCATATATAGAAAACTTATTAGTAACACAAATGAGACTGTGGTGTATCTAGAAGATATGAGCCAGAATGGAACCTATGTTGACAAGATCATAGTTGGTCGTGGAAAACGTGTCATTATTGACAATAACTCAGAAATTTCACTGGTTAAATCTTCATGTAAAGGTAATTGTGTTTTATCTGCTAAAATTTGTTAAAGAAATTGATTAGACATGCAGATTTTATATAATAAAATATAAAAAAGTCAACTTTATAAATCATAGTTTACAGATTTGAGAATATGATTATGCCCGAACCTAACAACTTACCACCAGAAATAAAACAAAAGTATGCACTAGGCCGTAAACTAGGATCTGGTGCATGTGGAGAAGTGAACCTGATATTTACAAAGGATGGTACTGAAAAATTTGCTATAAAAACAATACAGAAATCTGATTTTAATATCAATGGAAATGTCAATCATCTTAATAACCCTGAAAAGATTAAGAATGAAGTTGAAATATTAAGAAAGTTGAAACATGTAAGCCTAGTTAATCTATATTATTGTCTGATGGTTTCATAATATGAATACTAATGGAAGAATGTTTTAGCCTTGTATTGTTCAAATGAAAGATATTTTTGATACACCAACAACAGTGTATATTGTGCTTGAATTAATGGAAGGTGGAGAGCTTTTTGAAAGGATAAGAAACAGGGGCAAGTTGTCTGAATCAAATACAAAACATATATTTTATCAAGTTATACATGCAGTTCATTATTTGCACAAGCAAGATATCACACATAGAGATTTGAAGGTATCATCTAGAAAGTTATTTTTAATATTCTATTGATATTAGATATTTTGATCAATATATTTTAATTTTATTTTACAATAATTTCATAGCCGGAGAATATACTGCTAGCAGACAATTCCGATATTACTGTAGCAAAAGTATCCGATTTTGGGCTTGCAAAATTAGTAGATGCTAGAACTATGATGAAAACATTTTGTGGGACTCCTATGTATGTTGCACCTGAGATTATAAATAACCTTGGACGTATGTCTTATACAAAACAAGTATGTATTTCCATATAACGCGATAAGTCGGGAAGTAACATTTTTATTGAACTTGAGATATTTTTCTAGGTCGATGTGTGGAGTCTAGGAGTGATACTGTACATTTGCTTAGGTGGTGTATTACCTTTTAATTTACAAAGTAAAAATTATACTTTAGAACAACAAATCAGAAGAGGAAAGTATGTTTTCCCTGACTTGTACTTTGGACACGTATCACAAGAAGCTATAGATCTGGTATATAATAAACATAAATTAATAATAATAACACTCCTATTATTATTATATTATTCTATTATGTTAGTAATAACGTTTCTAATATTGTAAGAGTATTAACGAAATGTTATTTCAGATCAAACGTATGATGACGGTAGACCCGGACAAACGCATAACAGTTCAACAGATTTTACTACATGCTTGGATGAAAGATTCAAATATACGAAGGGCTGTAAACTCGTTAATATTTCCGGAAAATAACGAGAACATACCATCCTTGAATACCTGCAGAAAACGTTCCGAGGTTTATTCGCCCCCAGAGGGTATAAAACGTACGCGGCTTAACGCGTGAAAGAATATCCTTAACAGGAAGTATAAGAGAAAATATTTCGATGTTTTCCAATTGAAAGGAATAGTACAAAAGAAACATTTAACATTTTTGTTTAGTGGGATTAGATGTTTCATCGATTATTTTGTGATTTCGTAAATGGTTACCTACTTATATATGATCTCCACTTTGATGACAACTATATCTATAAATCTCTAAGATACATACTTGAATACCAAAACATTGTATTTAATATATCTACAAGGATCTTACAAAGAAAAAAAAAATACAAAGTGCCCAATAGTATTTAATACATTTCATTATAATTATGAAGTATATCTGTGATTCCACATGTTAACTTAGCACACAATAACTGCATAAGAATAATGATATAATAAAATATATACAATAATTGAGTAACTATTTTTGACGAGTATAATAAATTATACGATTACTCAGGATACTTTGTATATAGGTTAATATACAACGCGTTTGTGAAAATTACTCACTGCACAAACATAAATTTATTTACTATAATTTTTTACTTATAATCTTCAAAAAAATAGTAAGGTAGCCAAGAAGTATCTCGAGTTGAGTTTAGCGCTGTGTGCGTAAAGAGAATATAAAAATGTTAATTTGTTTTGATATACAATTACCGTATCGTGTTACGAACTACGGCTTATATGAACTTTAACATAATGACGAAATGAGTTTATTGTAAATGCGAAGCACTTTATTTCAACTCATAGACAATGCCATATAATAAAATGGAAGACAAAGGAAAAAACGTTTATTGACTCGTATTACACGTTTTCAATCCTTTCCGTACTGATATTGTTCCTTACCGTGGCAAGGATCCGGAATTGGTGTCTCGATATCGGGTTCCTCTTTCTTCGTAAGTCCAGCTAGTAAACGCTTTAACTGCGCTATTGCTTTTCCTGGGTTTAAGCCCTATCAAACGCACAGTATTATACATATGAGTTGATGTAGATAAAAATCAATCTATGTTTAAATGTTTTGCGTCTTCCGGAAGACTTAGATCGTTTAAATATAGAATATTTGGGCGCATAGACATTTCCATACCACAGGAAATATGACAATGATGAGGGTTACCTTTGGGCATGTTTTGGTGCAATTAAAAATCGTGTGACATCGGTAAATCGAGTAGAAATCTCGTAGCTTTCCCAGCCTTTCTTTATGTGCCATGTCTCGCGAATCAATTACCCACCTATATGCCTACCAATTTAAAGAAAACTATGTACCATACGTGTGCGTATGTACTAATATTTTCATGTTTTGTTACAGAGACAATTGGCACACTTGTCAACTTGTATTAATATATTCTTAAAAATGTATGTTATCTTATTTCTCTATTATACCTGAAGAAGAACCGCAGGTCCTAGATATTTGTCGCCGAGCCACCAGTAAGGCGGGCACGCATACGTGCAGCACGCGCACATTATGCATTCGTGTAAACCGTCGAGCTTCTTCCTGTCTCGCGTGCTCTGCAAGACTTGCCGTACACCGAGGATATTGTCCTCGCCAGGACGTTTTAGATATGGATCGATTGCTCGAAATTGGTCGAAGAACTGCCTCAAATCTGGTACCAAGTCTCGAATCACGTAAGTGTGTGGCAGGGGATAAATTACCAGGGGTTTTGCGGATTCTTCCACTTTTCTGAAGATTTAGGTGATTTTTAAAGAAAATATTAATTAAGCACTACAGAAGAAGAAGATTTTATTGTCTTATTTAGATAAGAAAAAGAAAGAACTGTGTATATGTGTAATCTAATTGTACAAATACATAAATTAACGTATTAACTATTAATGTAATAAACAATGAAGTTGACGTTTTAATCGTTAAAAAAATTTCAGATATCCGAATATCACCAAATGCCCCAAAAGTCCTAAGAACAATTATCCAAATATTTGAGATCCCAGATATTCGGAGCATCAAGTACTTTAAATTGCCAGAGACGTATTAAAATGTCTGAGACTTCATCAACCTAAAGAATTCAAAACTCCAATCCATCAATGCTGAGAATCACGATGATGAGTTGTAATGATAAATTACAACAATGATTTAATTACGTTATACAAGCCAAGGTATTGACGCCGTTTATGTTCATCGAGCAATTCCCGCAGATGCCTTCGCGACACGATCTGCGAAAGGATAACGTCGGATCGTGTTCCGCTTTGATCAACGTCAACACGTCCAACACCATCGTGCCGCACTTGTTCAGATCGACGGTGAACTGTTGTATGTGCGGTTTCACGTGTTGCTTTTCCGGATTCCATCGATACACGCGAACGATCTGTAGTCTGGGCTCAGTTTTCCGACTCTGTAGAAAATCAACCCTGTGCTATAGTCTCGCGGTCTTTCTGATTCTTTTATAAACAAATTTTATAAAAAAAATCATCGAAGAGAGAAAGAAGAGATTTCTTTGTACGTAACGAGAATTTCGATCCAACAGACTCATACACATTTATTTATTATTATTATATCTGTATTTATTTTTGGATGTATTTTCTTTCTATATGTATTTTTGGATGTAGGATAACTAACTTCCGGAGGCAATTTGCACTCTTTGATTTCTGCAAGATCGGCAGCTACCGCCGCATTCTCCTCGGACGACGATTTTGAGGTCTTCTGGGTCGATGTCAACCTCGTTCCATAAATGCGCGCGAGTCCATGCGACCGTAAGAGCCAGCTCGTGAGTCTGCCGTTCACGACGGCGAACATGACCCACCACTCACTTCAGCGACTCGTCTCTGTTATTTCCTCGCGCGCGCGTCCACGTGATTATTATTTTGAGGACAATACTTTCGTATTATCACGTTGGGCTATTACTTCAATCATTGCGTCTCGTTGCAGTCACGTATAATCCGGATACGAATCCAAACAAAATATCATCTAGCGGACAAACTTCGCGGACAACTTGCGACGAATTTGTCAATTAATGATCGATATGTAATGTTTTCGATAATTATCGAGTTTATACTCTGCCTACCAGCAGAACTTTGATATTTTTTTTTTTTTTTTCAATGAAATGCTTCATTTCTTAGTAGAATTATCTTTTTTTTTATATATATAAAATATAAGACACATTCTAATTGCTTAAACATACCATGGATACAAAACGTGAGAGACGTGTATCTTTGAAAAATAAATTTTTAATTTATTGATTTCACGCACATGACATATCTTGCATCGATTGGCTATTGCAGCCGTATAGCTTGCCGAGATGTTTTCTCAAACCAATAAAAGAATTCAGATAAAGTAACATTGAGACACAAATTCTCTCGCATGCTCTCGTATAAGACAAACATGTTACAACAATCTTGATAAGAGTGACGTGCGCGACCTTCGACCACAGAATGATTTGAAAATAATATCGTTACCAATTATATAAAGTTCTTTCATCGCAAGAACATTATGCTTGCAGATGAATATGTATTGCAGATGAATAAAACTGCTTTTAAATAATTTTTCACTGTTCAAAGACATTTTAAAATCCTGGGGTGTATATTAATAAGATGCGACTTGATTTTTTATTATAATAAACAAAATAGAGTGATATACAAAGAAAGAAGAGGAGAGATTACAAATATAATATTATAATAAGATAAGAAAATATTTTGAATATTTGTACTGAATGCACATTTCTTTATAATAATGTAAATGAACATTTTTTTCGAGGTCTCATGCATATTTAAAAAGGTCGTTATGTCATCTATTGGATGATATATGGGTGATAATGGATAAATCCCCCACAGACAGCAAGTTCATTGCGCAAAAACTGATTGGTAGGTTAAGCTATCGTGTCAGCTTTCGTCGCTGTCGTCGATGTACTAAGAATAGTCGCGCGAGTGTATTCTTCAGAGACGTTTCAACCACCTGTGGAATCTTGCGTTTCGTTTGAAAGATAGCACGTTGTCAAAGATCTCCATGAATTATCCATTATTTTGTAACGAAATCTAAAAACATAACATTATTTTGTAATAACGAAATCTAAAAACATAACATTAAAAACAATTAACGTTACCGGCAAGTGTGTAAAGTGTTCATTACATACAGTTTGTTAATTAAAACAACGTGAGTACTTAATACTAATTTCACTCTGATATTAATAGACATTGAAACCAAACAGTACAAGTGTCTAAAATGGTTTTGGAAACATCTTAAATGTGTTTAAAACAAATAGGATATTCTTTAAATATCTTTAACATGTCTTTAACATGTCTTAGATATTTACTAAGATATTACACTGTATGAGATATTACATAGTGATTCCTAATATTTTACAATGAATGGTAATGAATAAGCATTAAAGTTGTTACATTTACTAATAAGGATATTGATTTGTAGATGCTGCAATATACAGTTCTGGTAATTGGTAGCGGTGGTAGAGAACATGCTATATGTTGGAAATTGTCTCAATCACCACATGTAAGTGCATTCATCAGTGACTCAACAATAGATTAGAATCTTATATTCTAAAAATTACTATAAGATATATCTTGTTTGGTGCAGGTGAAACAAATTTTGGTTGCTCCTGGAAATGCTGGTATCAAACTAGTAGATAAAGTACAACTAATTGAATTAAATATTAAGAACACTAAGGTATATTATAATACTCATACTACATAATATTATGTAACTTTTCTCAGTTGGTTCTCAATTTTATAATATTAATTATAACATATATTTTTTTCATAGGAAGTTGCCAAATGGAGTAAGAATAATAATATTGATTTAGTTGTTGTCGGACCAGAAGATCCTTTGTCTCAAGGTTTAGCAAATGATCTGAAAAATGTAGAAGTAAAATGTTTTGGACCACAAAGACAAGCAGCTCAAATTGAAGCTAATAAAGACTGGGCAAAGCAATTTATGGATAGACACAATATACCTACTGCCAGATGGCAAGGTTTTACATCAGCTGCAGATGCACAGAAGTTTGTTAAGACGTAAGTAAAAGGTAGTAAAATCTTAAACAAAAAACTTAATAAAATAGGATAAATTGTATTCCTTTTCTGTTATGCAGTGCTCCATTTAAGGCGCTTGTAGTGAAAGCCTCTGGCTTGGCAGCTGGCAAAGGTGTTGTTGTGGCTAAAAACCAAGAGGAAGCTTGTCAAGCAATAGATGAAATGTTAACCAGTAAGAAATTTGGAGCTGCTGGTGAGACCATTGTTGTAGAGGAACTTTTAGAAGGCGAAGAAATATCTGTACTTGCGTTTACTGATGGTAAATAAAATTATATTTATTCCCAATTATATACTTTTCTTTTTATATAAAATATTCAGAAGTGATTCTTAAATTTTAGGCAAAACTGTCGTGCCTATGATGCCAGCACAGGATCATAAGAGAATTTTTAATGGAGATACAGGGCCAAATACAGGCGGAATGGGTGCTTATTGTCCTTGTCCACTGTTAAATGAAGATGATTATGAACAGGTGAAAATAAATGTCCTCCAGAAAGCTGTTGATGGACTTAAAAAAGAAAATATTCCGTTCGTCGGTTTGTAATATTTACTCGATTTTCATGTTAGATTACATGATTACATTTTATTTATATGAAACAATTGTTGCAGGTGTGTTGTATGCTGGTTTAATGCTGACTGAGGAAGGTCCCAAAGTTCTGGAATTCAATTGTAGGTTTGGTGACCCTGAAACGGAAGTAATATTACCGTTACTGACTTCGGACTTGTTCACAATTATGAAAGTACAGTCGATACTATAACTTAACAAAAATCAAAATATAAATACCGGTAATTTTATTTTCATATACTATATGATTATAGGCTTGTTGCGAGGGGACTTTAGACAAGTCTCACGTTTCATGGCGAGCAGATGTATTCGCCGTTGGTGTGATTTTGGCGTCTCGTGGTTATCCAGCATCATCGTCTAAGGGTCAAGTTATAACTGGTATTCATGAAATATCGCGTAGACAGGACCACTTCGTTTTCCATTGTGGAACTGCTGACTCTGGAGACGATTTAGTGACTAACGGTAATTATATGCTAATAATAAACTTATAGTTACGCAAAGGATACTCCGACAAGGAGATATATGTAACAATATATATTATGAAATACGTAGATAAAAGCTACAATTATAATATCATGTATACAGGTGGGAGAGTTCTTATCACCGTGAGCATCGCACCAACCTTAACGTTAACGGCAGCTAGAGCTACACAAGCTGCACAGCATGTATCTTTCGACGGAAAACAATTCAGGACAGACATCGCACATAAAGGAATCGCTAGGTACAACACTTTATGAACCGCAAGATTATTATCAAACTAATCGTATAAAATTAACGGATCAAATGGATATTTCAGATCTATCTTGCAGAGAGGACAACTAACTTACAAGAGCAGCGGTGTAAATATAGACGCTGGTGACAATCTTGTATCGGCTATTAAACCAGCCACTTGTTCCACCAAACGCATCGGTACTTGTGGATCTATCGGTGGATTTGGCGGCCTGTTCGATGTAAAAGCCGCGGGTTATAAGGATCCTATTTTAGTTTCTGGTACCGATGGTGTTGGCACAAAATTAAAAGTATATATATATATTAAGACAAAGTAGAATTGAGAAAATATGAGAAAAGAGAGAGAGGGTCAGTCACTTTTATAAGCAATTATTTCCTCGTAGGTAGCATTCGAATGTAATAAACACGATACAGTAGGCATAGATTTAGTAGCTATGTGCGTGAATGATATTCTTGCACACAATGCGGAGCCATTGTTCTTCTTGGACTATTTCGCATGTGGCAAGCTCGACGTCGGAGTAGCCACAACAGTCGTAAACGGAATAACTGAGGGTTGCAAGCTAGCAGGATGTTGTTTGGTAATTGAATAATAATATAACGCTCGTTAAACAATTCAGAAATATATTTTAAAAATAATATTGAATATTTCGAATAATATTGTGATCGTCCATGAAGATACAATATCAAAACATCTTCCAGATAGGTGGAGAAACGGCCGAAATGCCGGATATGTATTCCGAAGGAGAATACGACTTAGCAGGTTTTGCAGTGGGTGCGGTCGAAAAAGACAATTTACTGCCACGTGTAAATGACATAAAAGAAGGTGACGTTGTGATCGGTCTTCCATCCAGTGGTGTGCACAGTAACGGTTTCAGCTTAGTACGAAAAGTGTTGAAAATCGCGGATAAGAAATACTCTGATATAGCACCTTTTTCAAAGAAGAATAAAACCATTGGTACATAACGACAATGTCACATTATAATCTCTTTAACAATATTGAATATATATTATAAGTATATAACGATGTAATGTTACAGGTGAAGAACTACTGGAGCCGACGAAAATTTATGTGAAAAGCGTTATTTCCGCCTTACGAACCAATTTGGTGAAAGGATTCGCGCACATCACTGGCGGAGGTCTCACAGAAAATGTACCAAGAATTTTACCAGAGAATTTGGGTGTAACGTTAGACGCGACTAAGTGGAATGTCTTGCCAATTTTTAGCTGGTTAGCCACGACTGGTGAATACGCGCATATATATAATGCAAATTTTTTGTGAAAATTCTTCGCTAAAAAGATACTTTTCACACAGGTGGAATTAATAAATATGAGATGTTAAGGACATTTAATTGCGGGATAGGTGCCATTGTAATATGCTCCGAGAAAGACAAGCTCGAAGTTTTGAATAAGCTAAAAGATGAGAATCCTATGGTTATTGGAAGTGTGAATACGCATCGTAGTAAGAAACTATTATTGCTATTAGACAATTATGATTAATTAATTATATTAATTTTTATATTTATATAAACACACACACATTAACACACAGGTAACCAAACTAAAGTGCAAGTGAAGAACTTTGAAAAGGTTCTGGAGTTGGAGATGAAACAATATGTTCCCAACTTAGTTGCAACGTTGAGCAAATCTGTGAAAAAAGTGGGTGTTTTGATATCTGGTAGTGGAACAAATCTTCAATCATTGATTGATGCTACACAGGATCCATCTCAACACATAGGAGCAGAAATTGTTTTAGTGATTTCTAATAAACCTGGAGTTGAGGGACTAAAACGAGCTGAGAGAGCTGGCATAAAGACAGTGGTAATTATCATTCATATATAATAAATAACTCTTATTTACATATATCTTATTATAATAAACAAATAGCGAACAGAAAATTACAACAGAAAATTACATGTTTATATTTTAAGTCGTAAGTTAAATATATTGAAGATACATATTGCTTCCAATCAATCTTATTGACACACATTTATAGGTAATTAAACACACCAATTATCCAAATCGTGAAACTTTTGACTCTGCCATGAATGTGGAGCTTCATGCTGCTGGCGTAGAAATAGTTTGTTTAGCTGGCTTTATGCGAATTCTCTCGGAGCAGTTTGTAAAGCACTGGAAAGGAGCTTTATTGAATATTCACCCGTCACTACTACCATCTTTTAAAGGAGCGAATGCGCACAAGGACGTTTTAGCGGCGCGCGTACGTGTGTCGGGTTGTACTGTGCACTTTGTAGAGGTATGAGAATTTGATAAAACCTTCCAAAAGTCAGATATTTTAAATTAAATTAAAATAGATTAAAAGATAAATGTTTAACACTATTCAACTGTTAACAGTAAATATCTCGATATTGTTTATCAGGTTGACATAGATTCAGGAGCTATCGTCGAACAAGAAGCGGTACCCGTGCTACCTGATGATACTGAAAAAGTTTTGCAAGAACGCGTAAAAACTGCGGAGCATCGAGCTTACCCTCGTGCTTTAAAACACTTGGCTACTGGACGTATAAAATTAAAAGAAGACCATACCCTTCACTGGAATTTCTAAATCATATATATATACAAAACAGAAAAGTTCGTGAAAGATAAATTAATAAATTTTTACATTACTATTCACGCATCTTATTCTCATTTATATACATATATACATACAAGTCTAATGTATTAATATATATTTTTACATATAAATTTACGCAATATATTAAAACTGCTAATATCTCATTAAGTTCATTTTTTATGTAATTTTCTTACTAAACAAATCACTTATGAAATTAAGAAGATCCTGAGAAATATTTTCATTGGAATTTTTGTGGTTGGTTTGTGTATATTTCTTGACATTTTTAAGAGGTGATATTGATAATGCTTCCTCAGCAAGCTTGTCCAATTGAACATGAAGCATTTGTTTTTGGAGTATAGGAACTAGTAGGTTATATTTATCGATTTTGTCATTTATCTGTTTAGTCGAAATTTTTAATTTCTCTAAATTATCTTTCCACAAAGATGCATCTCTTGGTGTTAGTGGAAGCTCTCCTATATCATTACGCTTTTCTGATAATTTCTTTTTCAATTCCTCAGTCTCTTCTCGGATCTCTTTTGATAGTTGTATCCATTCTGGAGTAAATCCATTGTCTATCAATATCTGTATTTATAGTATGCATAAGTAAATAAGTTGATATCTCATACTTAAATTTTATTTTATTAATTTTTATCCTTTTGTACCTGATTTAATTTATGAGTGACAAAATCAACATAAGGATTTCTGGCACTCGTGGTATTCAATGGCTTTCCCATTCCAGGTAAGTCTCTGAATTCACCCTTGTTCATTGCTTCTTGAATTAAGTCTTCCACTAAACGATCCATACCGTAACGAGTTTTGATATCTTTGGCTCTCTGTTTATCCATACCAATCAATGTATTTCGTTCCTCAGCCTGTAGTTTCTTCAATCTATGCTCCATCACATTGTCAACTGCGTTTTGAGCTCTTTGTATTGTGTGCAGTCTTTGTCTTTTGCTTGGTGTGCCAATTCCCACATCAAAAGTCAAATAATGACGATGTTGAGGTGCTGTATGCTTAAGGAATAATTAGATTAATTGGTTAGGAACAATTAGAAAGAAATAATAAATTATTTGTACAGATAATTACCTTAATATCAAATTCTTCCACATCTGGCAATACCTGTTTATCATTTTGAGCATTCCTAATTTTTCGAATTTCTCTATATGCATTTTCAATCTACCTTGAATAATTGTACAATGAAAGCTGTTTGATAAGGAGTTAGCATGTCTTTGTAACATATTACCTCAGAAAATCTAACAGCATCAGCTTCCGGTGTTCCACTATCTGGATGAAAGCGCTTTGCAAGATAAACAAATGCTAATCTTAAAGCTTCATCTTCGCAATCTTCTGTAACACCAAGCGTTTGATACAACTCCTAAAAATACATATATATTTTTTTTAATACAAAATATTTTGTTTCTATCAAGTAGAAATTGACATTTGATACGATACTCTTGAAGTGCTCTTGGAAGTATATCGATGATTGAACCTTTTGAGAAAAATTGAATCGGTGTACGGCATATTGCACATTAAATAAGCTCTTGGTGTAAAATATATCCGATTTAAAGAAAACATGATTTGTAATATATATTGCAATGTTACAATTTATTTGCGTTGCATTATTTTTTTTAAACAAGTTGTGTAATTATTATATACAAACATAAGATATAAGGTTATCGTACACTCAAACATCGACTCTTTCCAGAGAGGAACGTGAGAGCGGCCAACAACACGAGGTTTTCGGCGACACCGATCTTCCGCACTAGGAAAGGGCGCCATCTGCATCCATTTTAAGAGGGGAACTACGATACTACATAGACTTTCAGGTTTCGGCGGTGGAAACTGCATGTGGTGGTAGTCCGTGCTATATCCATTTTCAGGCGGTTTATGTCCGTGCTACAACCATAATAGCCTACTTAGCCCCAGTTCCATAAAATTAAGTTTAAACCGTGATTATCTGAACTGACGTTACATTTAACGGCATGGTTAAACTTATATTGCGTTCCACATCATGTTTTTAACTGTAGTTTACTTAAACCTATAGTCTGTATGAAGAAACTGTCAGAGACTTCTCTTTCTTTTCAAACGTAGAGTATGATTGGTTGTTGCTAATAGTGAAAAGAGGGAAAATTGAAATAAGTTGGATGCTATGACATCTAGAAGAGGACAATATATCTGTTTCGTATGAAGTAAACACTAACCAACATTAACATTTGCTGTATTCGTATATAAGTATTAATTTATTAAAAGGTGGAAGTCCAGTGTTAATAATAATCAATTAGCTTATATTATTGACTTGATTGCATTTATCATATAATAATTGACTTTTATATATAGTTTTATACTCTGTTTTAGAATATAATCTATCGAAGCAAAAAACCCAATATTTTAAATTAAATTTATATACTTACTGTTCTGTTTTATGAGAAATTTCATGTTCAATTTCTACTAGAATTGCAATAACAGATTCATCTGATAATCTAAATCGTGCATGAAAATCGACATTATCAAATTCTTCCAAATATGATGGTCGTCTTATTCTTATATTTCTTGTCCGTCGATAAATTAGGTTTTCAAAATCTTCATCTTTAGATGAAGATAATATGTATTCTAAAGCCATATCTCTTTGGTGTTCAAACGTTCAAAATATTTGTCAACTGAACTCCAAAACCGGGATAGTCATAAATTTTTTTCTCAAATTGACGGTACTGCAGTGTTAAACTTCGTTTAAATTGATTAAACGCCCAAAGTTTTGGGTTTAACTCTAACTGTGAGGAATCAACGTTAACCATGGTTTAAGGCAGTTATGGAAAGCAATTTTTCGTCTAAACTATGGTTAACGAGTAAAACTTCGTTTACAGCACATTGTTACGTGTTTATAACATGAATTAACGTGTTAACATGTGTAAAAAAAGAATTGACATTGTGTACGATTAATATCATGAAGAACATATGAAGTGTTAGGTAATTACCTACCAACCCGAAATGAGGGTAGATTGGGCTGACAATAAGACCAGAGAGGAACATGAGAGCGCGGCCAACACGGAGTTTTCGGCGATACCGACTTGTGTCCGACGTGCGGAAAGTCGGTGTCGCAGAAAATGCCGTGTTGGCCGCTCTCAGATTTCTCTCTGCCTGTAATGACAAGAAATTTCACTAATACGCCACCTGTGGCGTTAGCGTTTGTTCAGAAAATAGAAATATCGTTTCTCAATCTTTATATTCTATGTGTCATGATTTGTTTAAAATGTCAACTACGACAAAATGAGGTTATATCTCGCTCTTGTAATAATTATTTGTTTTTCATGGGATTTGGGAGAATGCTTAATGCTTGTCAATGCAAATAAAAGCGTTGATCAGCAACTAGAGTATAGGCCTGAAGGACCGCTGGTAATGTGCAAATTTTTGTAAGTATTCAAATATATGCTTTGCAACAACTGAAAACAGTAAACTTGTAATACCTATAATTTTTCAGGTCAATAGAATTTATAGAATGTGAAGAACCAATTGATCACAAAGGAAATAAAACTGCCAAGGACGAAACAGGTTTCGGTTGTGTCAAGGTATGACATTATGAAAGTATTCATTGTACATGGTTGTGTAATGTTATAATTACACGCGAAAATATACAAAAAGTTTAATATAAATTATATTTAGTTTGGAGGATCTCGCTATGAAGATGTGGAGAAAACTAAAGTATCATGTACAGTATTACCAGACATCGAGTGCTTTGGACCAAGAACATTCTTTCGTGAAGGAATACCGTGTATAAAATACAGTGATCATTTTTTTGCGACAACTCTCTTGTATAGCATTTTATTAGGTTTCCTTGGTATGGATCGATTTTGCCTTGGTCATACTGGAACAGGAGTAGGCAAATTGTTAACATTAGGTGGTATGGGTGTGTGGTGGATTGTAGACATCATTTTATTAGTAACAAATTCCTTACAACCTGAGGATGGTAGTAACTGGAATCCATATGTATAACATCTTATTACTTAAAAGAGACAAGCAATCTCTTTTGTATATAATTTGTAATTTATTTGTAAATAAACTATGTGATCAGGTATGATAATTGCAATAATACAAGAAAAATAAATTGCATGTGGTATCACATTGAGCAGATGAACAATTTATAAATCATAGTCATCAGGATGATACAATTCACTCAGTAGCCTATATATGTAAGACGGTGCATTTCCACCTCTGAAAAACAAAAAGTTAAAATCATTAATTGTCATTAGCTTTGAAATGTTTGTAGCAAGTTATTTGTTCGGATCTTACGTATTTGAGATAAACAATGTAACCAGATCTGGTGGCACATAATCGAACATAGGATTATATGCTTGTATCTTCTGTAGCAATTGTGCATTGTTACTTTCGACTAGGCCCATAAAAGGTGAAATGTGTCTGTTAAAACTATCTTGTTTATATGAACAAAGATAAAGAGATGATAACTTATATAGAGGTAATAAGACCATCACTGGAACAGAATAATGTTTAGCTGCTTGTGCTACTGTATGTGATCCTGAAATCGCCCTGAGTCCACCATTTGCCATAACGGTATCAGTGCCGATTATGACTTTATTAACTCGTGACATCATTGCGAAAATGGCTACATCCGAAATGAGTGTGGTTTTGATTTTTGCCTTAGCTAAATTCACTGCCATTTCATGTCCCTGTAATTAATATATATTATTTGTATTTGTAATATACTTATAATTATATATTTCTTTTTTACCAATTTCCTTTTGAACATAGACTTACAGTTAAAAGAGGCCCACCCTCTGCCACTATCACTTCAAAAGCTCTGGTAGTAGCAGCTCTTTTAAAAAACTCTTCTACTAATTTTGATTTTCCGATAGTCATTATAATCTCGTTCGAATGTATATGTTCAGAGGCTTGTTGTATGATATTTTCTGAACTACAAACATACAAAATATAAATTTTTAATTGTAGTTATGAAAATATCCTTTCTTTAATCCTATGCTACAACAAAACTGATAGCCAACATATAGGACAGTTGAATCTCAAGTTTATATTTTGCTGCAAAATGTAATTTCTGGTATATTCTTATTATGTAAATTATTGATTTCTTAACTGTTATTTCAAATTTATATATAATGAATTATAAACTAATATATATCAGAATAATGAAATCCTGATCTCATATTGTTATTTACATAGTTGTCGAAACAATTTAATGAAATAATTAAACAAAAGAGCATTAGTTAACTTGGAAATAAGCTATGCTATGTTCAACTAGCCTTTAGTACACAGCAAATACTCAATATTGGATAACTATTGTAATCTTTAGTAACAAAAGGGTAATCAAGATATTTATGAAAATTATTGATATAACAACTAACCATGTTTCTAATTCAGTTTCAAATTCATTAATATGTTCAATAAGAGCAGATTTTAAAGAAGGCACTGGAACATTAAAGTCAATCTGTTGATCACTTTCTGCAGTAAGAATCTTATGCAAAGATTCCTGAGGATCTGTCTCATCCGTTTTATTTTTTAATTCTGATGTATATTCTTCCCTGATGATTTGTAATATTCTTCTCACCATGTTCCCAATGCAAGCTTCAAGAGGACATTCTTTGGTTAAATATTTTCCATTTTCTATGATGATATCCATTAAATCTCTGTTGAAACCATAATAAAAGTTAATATATAAATATATAATGAAGTTAATAAATTTTCTTCAAAAACACATGGCATATTTTTCATTTTGTATAATAATATTCATAATATCTCTGTTGAAACCAAAATACAAGTTAATATGTAAATATATAATAAAATTAATAATTTTCTTCAAAAATATATAGCATATGATGACTAATTAACACTATCATGCAATATTAATGATAAGTTACAATAGTTAAAAATGAAATTCATACTTTGCTGTGCTCCATTCTGCATTATTAATCATTTCCTTGAATACAGAAATAGTAGTCACTACGATGTTATAAGAACCTTTAATTTTTCTGGAAAAAAATAAAAGAATGGTTATATATAGGAATAATTAAGAATATTTCTTTGGAGGTTAAAGTAAATTTCCTTACCCATAATGGATATTATTTATTAGTTTCAATACGTTCTCGTTAATATTTTTAAGGTTTGTACCAACCATTTTAGTTATGTTCAAATAAACAACTAAAAATAAGCTGAAATTAATTGAATTAATATACTATGTTAGTGTTACTTATTTTTTCAAATTTACTGCTTTCTCCTTTCTTGAATTACGACACCCTATCTCAGGTGAATATACTACATTAAGCCAGAGCGCAGTAAAGCCAGCGGCACACGGTGCTTGTTTTCGTGCTGGATTGCTTGCTGGATGAAAATACTGTGTTCTGATTAGTGCATTTCCATTCATCTTCGGAAATGTACCAATCAGAACGCAGTATTTTCATCCAGCAAGCAATCCAGCACGAAAACAAGCATCGTGTGCCGCTGGCTTAATACGTGTGTGCTCGGCACGTGGTCGCGAACAAAAGCAAAATGGAATTAGAAGAGCGCCCTCGGCTGAAGCGTCTGCTTCCGACGGCTTGGCTGCGGTCACCTGGCTGTGCGACAGATGGCGTGAGAGGCTCGACCGCCACAATATACTCTCCAAACACAATTTGAACGTGAATCTAGTTATCAACATCATTTTTCACACATGCGTAGCAAAATGGTGGGAACTAGTAATGCACACGCGTGTTAAATATGAATATCACTTTGGAAGATCGGTTAGGAGATGGAATCGAGATATAAAAAAGCATAGAGGTAAGTACATTTCTATTAAATCTATTCTATTAAACTATCAGTACATTTATATTAAAAGCATAGATACTTAAGACACAAGGAGCCGTTAAAACATAAAGTTGGTAATTCTAGTAACAGTCTAAATACTTGTTCTTTTTTCTTTAACTAAAGTAACCTTGCACTGGAACTTCGTTTCTTTTGCTTTCCACGTTATTATATATTTCAAAAACTAAATTATATACTTGTCTCTTATTGAACAGAAAGTAAATTGAACCGAAAAACAATTTTCTTTGGTCTACTTCCTTTATCTAACGTGTGTTGTGCCACATGTACTACCGAAATATGTTCGATACTTTCGATTTAAGCCGTGTTACCATCGATAGTACTCAATAAGATAACTAATCTAGACAAGCTAGTTATTTGTTGATCAATAAATCACTATATCAATAAATATAATGAGATATTTTATGATACGTATCTGCCTTTACTCAAGATATTAAGTGGCCTGAATGAAAAGTCACGCAAAAACGGCTCGGCATGATATGTGTTAAATTAAAATGTGTTAGATTCTGTCTCTAGAGTGAAATAAGTGTCTAACTGAACGTTGAAGGAAAAAAGAACGAAGTTCAATACAGCACTAAACAACTAAAAAGAAATAGATATTTGGTAAATACATATGATCGTTGACGTAAAAATCATATTGAAAAATTGTGATTCTTAATTAATATTATCAAGGTGATCAATATAATGTATATTTTTATTATAAAATAAAGTAAATATAATTTGAATTTCTTTTTTTAAGCAGAAGAATCACCCAACAGGATGAGTTGTCCACGGCTTGTTTCAAATTTTTGCACTCCTAAAGTTATATGGAGCCAATCAGATCTCACTGTCATAATTCGTGTTATTTTAATTGATGTAGCTGATTATTATCTTCGAGTTGAAGACAATTATTTATATTTTAGGTATTTATATGTAATACATAACAAATACAGATTTTAATCTGATTAAACTTAATTTTGTCTCATTGTAGTACAGTAACAAATGGTAAAAGTTATTATCTTATCTTGCAATTGTTTGGGGCAGTAATAGCAGAAAAAACATTACACAAGAATGTTGGAAGAGAAATTAAAATCTACCTCACAAAGGGACTCAAATGTATATAATACAATTGATATATTTCTATACTTTTTTTTATATAATTAGTAGATTGATACATCTGTACAATTTTATACAGGGTTTCAATGGTTAAGACTGATTGTATCCAAAGAAAAGGATCCTCTTATAGCATATGATTTGGATTCTATAAGCGAAAAAGAATATGTTAAGAAAAATTTACTTGTTTGTGGTAATTTGGTTGTCATTCTTAGATTAGAGAATTATATATAATCTTTTTCTTATACATTTTTATCTTTATTGTAGGAACTGTTGAGGAGATTAAATGTCGATATAACAAAACATATATAAGGCCACCTATAGATGAAGAATCTGACTCTGATGATTATGATGAAGATTTGGATCTTCTAGGATATGCATAACAAATATTCCATATATATTTTATATCATATTTATAGAATATTCAATTGAAAAACATTTTATCTTACCAAGTAAGGAATGTATGAGTGATGGTTATATATACAATTAGGATAATGATTTTATATATGAGTGTCTAGATATACATATGTGTATACATATTATATCATATGTACACATATGTACACATATATGTATACACATATATGTGTACATGTGTTCATGTATATACATATACATATATATATATATATATATATATATATATATATATATATATATTACAATGTATTCCTTACAGGAAATTCTAAAATGGTACAACCTTATGTGTTCAGACTGTTATGCTAATATATATATATATATATATATATACACATATATATACATATATATATATATATTTATAGGATCAGTTATTGAAATTTCTATATTGGGTTCAGTAGTTTCTTAATTGATTTCTTAACAAAATTTAATTTAGTATTTCAAGACTTAACTCAAAACAAATATATAACTATTGTTATATGTTTGTAAAGCATCTTTTATTTCTTATAGTTTTTGAAAAGTTTTTTTGAAAATATAATGTTCTGTTGTATAAATAAATTGTAAAATATATCTGTACAATATACATAGTATTTTCATAAATCATACATGAAAAATTGAGCCACTTACATAAATAATAAATACAAGTAAATTGATTTTCCTTTAAAGGAATTTTATTTATAAAAAGAATCAGAATGTTATCAATTAATATAATTTACATTTGTTCTCAATTCTCAAAGGAATAATTAAATCAAATATATATGTAAAAAAATAAAAGATGTATTTTCGTTAATAACACATACATATATATCTACTACAAAATCATGAATTTAAAAAGTGTATAAAATATACGTACACACATGTTATATTATCATATATACCTTAATGATTAATATGGAATGTTATTAAAATTAATAAGATGATTTGTAGTTGTCAATTAAACATTGTGATGAGTGGTTTACGAATATCTTTGGCAATATATGTGGCTTTAAATTACCTTTCTCCTATGATTGAAAAATAAAATAAATCTATGTTTCAACATAATTAACTATTTTTAAAACAACAGTGAAATATGCACAATAACCATGTTGTATTTCATAATGCCAGTAGGATCAAACAGATATTATTAAACAAATCTTTAGCTAGCTTTAAGACAATCTATAATGCCTGATAGAATTTAGGATGGATTCTAACATTTTAGTAGTGGTTTCATGGTTTCATGCTATAGATTGTTTTTTTCACTAATATATTATTCTATTTGGATATTAAAAACAAACGAGGCGACATTGTGCATTAATCTAACTTAAATTCTGCTATAACTTATCACATTAATCAGCATGTATTGCAATATTGCAATATATTGCAGTATGTCGTGTGATCTTATTGAGATGAATAATAACTCTTGGAACAATATAGAAATGAATTACTTGGACATTATTTTACAACCGCGTGTGATTATAAATATAATTAAAATACTAAAACAAGATTTTTTTACATTCTGAAATAAAACAAAATAAACTGTATATTAATCATCATTAATAATATATATCAATAATAATTGAGCTATAATTCTTGGTATTATATGGTAACGTGACTGATAAAATGATTACAAAATTCATCCTGATTTCATTATAATGCAATTTTTATAGTCTAGTTATTTCAGAATGAGATTAATATCTCGTTTGCTTAATTTTCCAATTACAGTAAATAGAGATCCATCTCATTGATACAATTACATAAAATTTCCGTTGTACATTCTATTATATTCTTGGCTTATTAAAATGCAACATACGACATTAAAGATCATTAACATATCTGTTTAAGACTGACACAATTTATGATATATTCAAGTATTATGCGTGAAAGCTGATATACGTGTGAAATTTTGAAGAAAGTTAAGTGCGACGTTGTAAATTAGTTTACAAAATAATCACTTATTTATCGCGGTAATTACTTATTACTGCCGATGTGGTGGTGAAAATGAAAATATGCAGTAATACGCTCTATTCATTTAATTAGTCGAATATGATATTAGATCAGATACGACATTAATTTGGTTAATGTTGCGATATTATCGTCGACGATATTACTACTTTGTTTATCGTAGTACATGTAATGCAATTTACATATGTACTAGATTTAATATATACTAATGGCTGTCTACGTATGTCTCGTTTGGTTAGCAGCCTTCCAACGATAATCTTTGATTTATATTCTCGACTCTCGTTTTCATTTCTCTAAGAATATCGGCGGCGAGGTCGTCCACAGTTGTATATCGTACTTTAAAAATATTAAATATATCTATAAGAAATTCGATCACTTGCTCTTTAAAGTAGTAACAAGTAGAACGTAGGTTGCTTTCCGAGCCCAAGAATCCCCATACAAGTACCGGAGAGATTTGCTCGGAGATTGAATAGAAATGTGCCAGGAAGCCCTGATCATATTTTAGCATCTGTCTTTTACCCATGAGAACGGACCATACCGCCGTCCCTATCGCCTGTAAAAGTAATTATCGATTATTTTGAACACCAGGAAAAATATCATACAATAAAAACATTAATGTTCTCTTCGTTCGTAAACTTACAGTTTCCCTGAAACTAGCAGATATCCATCGGTTTTGGAGTATAGCCTTGATGGACGATGGAGGTTTTTCCATCTCTTCGAACGCGTCCAACAGTATGAAGTCGACGAGGACATCATAGAAGTTCATGCACTTGACACCGCGAACGGTCAATTCCTCCTCCATAATACTATGGTTACGTGGCTCTTTCAGAAATTCCAACATGCGCTCGTAATATACTAAATAATCTTTGGGATCCTAACAAATCGTTCAATTAGTTTCCATCGACAAATATTTTATATTCATATCATTTATATTACGTATTTATATTTTCCATTTACTAAAAGAACTATTTCAGCAAATGTAATAACTATAACAAATGTTGAAATAACTTTACCCTGTCTGCGTACATAATTAAATCACTCATAACTTGCCGGCCCATGTCTGCTATAAATGCTGTCGCCGCGGGCAAATTAAATAATTTGGTATAAGCCTGTCGTAAGCAATGTACTTTTGCTAAATATTCTACATCTGATCCACACCTTACAAGTTCTGTGTGCATTCTCCTGCAACAATATAAATTATGTAATGTATTCGATTAACCAACTATAAAGGACTGATAGCGATTTACCTGCAAGGAATACCATTGTCTTCGTGTTGTTTAAGAGCGGCATGATACAATGCTTGCCTCTCCAAATGTGGAAACAACTCAGAGAATTCTTCGAACTCGCGCAAATCCGCAACCTGAAGTAATTTTAATATCGTAAGTTGATTTATCTCTCTTAATCTAATAATTTCTGATTGAAAGAAATTGTCAAAACTGATTCATCACTTACCCCGTCACGCGCAGATTCGAAAGAATCGGGTGATGACGCGGCGTCAACTCTTTCCTTGCCAGACATTCGTGTCTCAACATGTGAGGGTTTACGACTATCGAGACTCTCCTCGCTATCGTTACGGAATAATACAGAATGCTGCCAAAAAATAAATAATAAGAATTATCATGGATTTGGAAACTACAGCCATCTTACAAACGATATATTTATATATTGATCATACAATGTATGATACATATGATGTATATGTGATATGATACGATAAAATAATCTACGATATATGCCCATATATGTATATATATAATCACACATATTTGATCTGACACTCAGATTACTCGAAGAAAGTCGTGAACTTCCTATGCCGTAATGTCCGCAACAATTCCCGGTCTGGCGTCGGGTCAAGTGACTCGTTGCGCTAATTACCCCCGGGGCGGTTGTCATTTAAATTGGATTAATTCCCGCATTTTTTTACCAACCAGTAGAAAGGCAATTGATGAATGCAGTGGAATGGAATGGTATATCGGGTGACCACATAGTCGTCCGCGGAGGACGAAGGACCGAGGCGATCGAATGTGTATCTCTCTCTCTTTCTCTCTCTCTCTCTCTCTCTGAATCAGATCAGGTTCAAAAAATTTCAGGAATATGAATAAAGACCGCACCTGATCAATGAACAACATTTCCGCCTGATCTTGCATTTGATACCCTACGTCAAGCAGTGTCTGTACATCTTTGGTAAACGCCGCATCGGCCTTCGTTTGCAGTGCCAAGGTTTCGTTGTTGAAGGTAGAACTAAATGCAGTGAGCGCATCTTCCCAGCAGTAGAGAGCCTTTTCCAACGCCTCGAGACCTGTGATTAAACGATATTATCTAATTTTAATAAAGGAAATACCAATGTGCGCATGTGCTTCTACATATTGCGATTCATATTTTATAATCGTATACATAAAATTATAATAAAATGTAATAATGATAAGGAAGTGGCATGAAATAGGATATAGAATGATAAGTTGGATAAGATAAAAAGAAATATATATATATATATATTAGATATATTTGTTTAGCATGTAAGATAAAGTTTTGTGATATTAGATTAAGTTTATAGAAATATAAAAGTTTTAACAGAAAGCACAAACAAGCACAGACAAAATATGAAAGTTTTAACAAAAGACACAGACAAGCGGAAAGAAAGATAAGAAGTAGAATAATTTGGAAACGATAGGTTTATATTTTGTAATAGATATAAAGAAATGTTAACAGAAGACACAGATAAGCGAGAAAAAATATCAAAAGGAAGTAAAATAACTTGGAAACAATAGCTTTTTATTTCGTAACAGATATAAAGAAGTATATTTGTGTTAGGATAACGCCGTAGATTTCTAAGATAAAGATTAGAAGTTAGGTATAGAATTATTAAGAATTTAGAATAAAATGAATAGGTAAATGAGATAAGGAAGTTGATTGTAAACCAAGTTCCCTTCTTGATCATTGTAGCTGAAATGAAAAACTATCACTAATAAAATCTCCCTATTTAGATATATAACCTGAAAATTTTAAAAATGCTAATAAGAATTTTATTTAGTTGGTATTGTCAAAAAAAAAACATGTATGGGTGTTAGATTCGGTGCTATTGTCATTGATGATAAAGCATAGTAGCACTATTGTCTATTTAACTACATGCCAAACGTAATTATTTATTATTTCCCTGGATGTTCATAGATATCCAATTGTTGCGAGCATTTGAATTTAGTTTCTGACAAGAAAAGCGCACACAAAAATGATTACTTCTTTCCAGAGAATGACTGATTACATACGAGTGTATGATACATCCTATAGATCATACAGATGTTAAAAAGTGAAAAAGGAGATTGCGACTTTGCAAGTAAAGAACAAGGGTAATGCGTGCCACTTGACTCAGAACTCGAATTCCGAGTCGGTGACATCACATATACACACACTCTCTCTCTCTCCTTTTTCATTTAATCTTTTTGTAAGTCGTCACGGAGTGTTCACCAATTTGCTACAACGGAAGTCCGACACACTGTGTTAATTTAGGAGAGAAGTGGGGAGGCCAGGCTATAATGTCCCGAATGCTGACCCATTCATCATTTCCAATCTGTGTCCTTATCGCTATATTGCGCATCAACAATTATACAATATTGTTCGACAAAGACAGGATATACCACGAAGAACCTTCTCATCATGAGAGTTCAATACGATAACTAATCTCCAAGTTCATATTTAAACAAAAGCCAATAGGCGACATGTTTTGTGCTTGTCGGAAAATACTCGAAGTTTCTAAGATATTATGATTTATATTTATATTATGTATAAGATTTAGCTACTTGATCTTTCTTGCCAACCTGGAGAGTCTTTTACTGATAATTCTAGAAGTTCCGATAATAAAAGAAAAGCCATGACTCGTTTTGTTCATTTTAGAAATCTAAAAAAGGTGTTACCATCTATTTCGACATACAGATTTGATTTATTCTTATTAACAACGGATTAAAAATAACGTTATATACCTATAATTAAGTTCTATCATTATGTTTTGTTAGAATCAATGATAGTACATAGATAATACCACTTCGCTCTATAAGTGACTTTTTAAATCCTCAATTTGCTTTTAGCTTCAGAAAGGGAATTTTGTTTTATCGTCAAAGTTTTATTGTAAATTCGAAATCCAGATGTCAAATTTGTTTCGATCGCGCGCCACATATATCAGAACCTATATGAAAATTTGAAGAACTACAAAAGTTATTTAGAGAGGAGTTGAAGAGACGAGAGGTCGACAAACTCGACAGTACCATTCAACCGGATGAAATAGTAAACACTAACTTATAAATGCACTTGTAGCTAATATTCTTGTTGAGAAGCGATGGCATCAATTGAGCCGAGAGGAGATCAAATTGACGCCTCATGTTGATGCAGCCCGATCTTCGTACGAAATATCGATTGCGTGACCGGCGCCGGTGACTCTCCTCTTCGCAACGGCGTTAATTTCGTCTCTGAAGCGACTTCAATTTCGTACAAGGAGGGACGTATATACGTGCCGCCGACTTGACCCACCCTATATACGCAATAGCGAGACGCGCGTTGATTATTTGCGCTACTCATCTCGACGAAATAAAAGTCACGTTCTTGAAATCGAACCAGGAAAAATGGCAAGGCGAAATGAAACACGATAATACGTGTCCCACATCGCATTGGCTCGCTCCAAAATTGTCGCGTTTCGTTCGGGTATTCTTCTGATCTCTCCAAGAGAATCGCATCATACATTTTGCGCAAATTCATTTTGTACGATTAAACCTGAAATTGAAAGAAATGATACGTTTTTGAAGGATTGTCCCTTTTCTCGTGGAATTAAAATTTGCCTGAAGACGTAACGTGTCTTCTTACATCTTGAAGGAGCAACATCTTAACCCTCTTAGATCAGGCCATAATTTGAGAAGATAATTTATTTCCCATGTTCGTCCCAGCTTCGTTCTTAAGGATTTTCTTTTAATTTCAGTCCGTATTACAAGTCGCGAGAATGGTTCATCCCCTGATCGATATACAAAAGACGGGAGGTGCGGAAGTGACATAATTGAACAGTTAGGAAATGCGAGGCCGCACCGGGGCACCGGGTTAAGTCTAACGGAAGGGTTAACCCGTCGCGATCCTCCGGGCCAGCATCAATGCGATCGTTACGGCCGCAGGACAAGGGGATCGTAAGACCACGAAGGGATGGATACCCCATGGAGAAAGGCGGCTGTGCGACGCCGTTGCACACATCCGGCGTCAATAATACCCGAGCGTGACGTAATCGCTGGGCCGGCCGGTCATTGGAGGATGCGTCATCCAATGGTGAGGGGTCGATACGGGGTGCCCTTGCGATTCACAGGGCGCGCATCGTCGCTTTGAAGTTGCGCCATTTCGCGCCTCGAGCGAGTGTGAGCGCACTTTCCCGAGTGCATGTTGCGTTCGTCGTCGATTACGCGTATCACTTTCGCTTCCCCGAGGAAATTCCGGGTAACGGCCTCGTCCTCGCGCCATCGGCAGGGAGCACATCGGAGGGGGTTGGCGCCGCAAGGTCGAAACTCATGCGAGCGTCCGGAAAAATACGCGTTGCGGCAACTTTGCGCGCGCGCGCTAACTGCGCAGGGGTGGTCCTCCGAAGAATTCTCAAGGGGACGATTGCGTCGGAATGAGACATCACCTCGTTCATGTTTCGATCGTACACGCCGGAGCCTAAACGCAGTTCATATCCTCGAGTTGTGTCTTGTGTTGTCGAAGTTGAGCACTGAATGCAAAGAGGATACTCGTATCGAATGCAGGTAAATTCGAAAATCAGCGCGCTACTGAACACGCCCGATTTACGCAATTTGGTAGAATCCCAGCGAAAACATGTTGATCGTACGCCGCTCCTTGGTCACCCAACGCGCATTTTTTTCTCTTCGTGTTCTTTGATAACCTAACTCCCCGTTGACGCTCGAGTATTTCGAAAGCGAAATAACATGTATTTTCTCTTAAGCTTTGAATAATACACAGTGAATTTCGTTTTTTAAGCCAATAGTGCGAGCACCGCCGAGTGGGGGTGCGACCAATGGGAGTACGGCGAGCGTTGAGCGGAGAGGAGAGCAACGAGAGGCGCACAAGTGGGAGATGGTTTGCGCTGGCGTCAGTTATTCGGCAAACGCGTTCAGCGAAGTACGCGCTCGTTGCCGATTGCGCAGCACTCCCGCAGCGAGTGTTTCCGTATTCCGCTCTCGGCCGTTGACACGCGGACTCGCCGACCGAAAGTAACAGAAGATCGTCCTGTCGTCGCGAGATCGTAATCCGCGGCAAGTAAACGGAATCACCCCGAGTGCTTCTAATATTCCAGCGATCGACGTCGCGCGCGCGCGCGCGCGTTATTTGGATTATAAAGTTGAGTGCTGACGAGCAAGCCGAAGACGCAATTGAGGTGAGTATGAGCCGAGCCACGCCGAGAACATCGTGTACACGACAAATTCGTCACGATGGATATGTAGGGAGAGATAAAATATGCACGCGGCATCTCTGTATGCTCCCGAAGGATGCACCGATAACACGATTTGAATGTAACTTCGTTGCATAGTGGGCGCCATTCACAGGGCCAACGGAATTCGATAGATTCCGTTACGACGCAATACGATACGGTAATTCTGTGTCGGAAGGATTCGTCCTAACCTTTATCCAGTCCTCTGCGGGTACCCGAGTCGTCCTTTCCGCGTCAGCTCGTACACTTCCGCCTTTCTGGCGGAATAGGCTCTCGCAGCGCGTCGTTACCTTCATTTCTCGAGGTAAACTTCTGAGGATCTCTCGAGGAAGCTTATAAATATATGAATGATCTTTTCGAATCCACACCGACATGTCTGCTCTATTTTCGCCGCAGCGAAGGCGGGATTCTGAAAATCGATATTTGATAAATTCAGACGTGTGTGCCACCGGTGTGACGCACTATGGGCCGGTGTGCGCCCAGGTGAGACGAAAATATCTTCTTTCCAAGAGAACGAGAATAATATCTGAGAATCTAATTATTTCTGTATATTTTCCGATAACCTGGATATATACCGTGTCTATTCTTTCGCTTGTCGCTACTCGGGCGAGAGATCAATAGGATCGATGTCGGCTTCTCTATCCTTGGGGAAAAAGAGAGAGAATCGTATTGTCTCCTCCCTCCTCTCGACAAAAGGAACGCTCATCTGTCGTGAGAGAGATCGGGAAGTTCGCCGACAATATGAAGCCTCGAGCAACACCTGGGCGCGTATTTTGCTTGTTTATTGCGCAACGTTCGCGCAACAACAAATGCGACGCAAACAAAAATCGACCGACCATACACAGACGCAATATGCCAATTCCGAGAATCTGCGCATGAAGCGAGTATGGAAATTGTGTAATCCTCGACCGACGTGAGTTCGCGACACTTCATTCATAGATACATCTTATATTATTTTTCTCGTCAGTCGACGACACCGTTCGCGAGTTTCGGAACATGGACGGTTCTCTTTGCGGCAAGATTATTAGGTCTATGAATTTCGTTACTGATCGGCATTTGAATGTATAAGTGTGTTACACCTGAAGGATATCTCACGGGAGTCCAAAACACGCGGAAATCGTTTAGACCCGGATGGTACGGACTTAGCCGCGGAATTTAGGCTGGCGTAGGTTTCTCTATGGGGGTCAAGTTCAGAGGTCAATAACTCGGTGATGGCAGTGGGTGGTTGGTTTCTGGCGGTACCTTCGAATAAAAGTGAATGCCGCGGCCGCACGTAAGTGCAACGATAGCGGCCGTAACCGCGCCGGCAGCAGATCGATGGAGGTGTGTGCCTGGTGAACTTGGAAATTCCCCTAGCACACGCGCACTTCCTCGTCGCTCTCTTTCTCGCTCTTTCTCGGTCCCTTCCTCCGGTGGATGGTGTTTGCCACGGTGTGTTTCGCATACGTATAACACGAGAATAACGCACGCCCAGGTAAACGGAGGCGCGGACGTATATAACGAGCGATTAAAAAAAACTGCTAATCTTCAAGTCGCGCTGCGCCGCCTCGATCGCCCGCCAATCGCCCGCGATGATTCACGCTTGCCCGAGGGGCCGTACTGGGTGTCCTGCTGGAAAAGGGACGCGTATCCCTCGCGAGAAATCCGCGGCCTCGGTTTCCCACAAGTTTCCCTTTCGCCCCTTCTCGGATTTAGAAAGAAACGGAACTGAGATTTAAACCGCTATAGACTCATCGGGTAGTCATTATTTAATAAATAATAGGGAAGTTGAATATACACATGTATAATATAATTATATATGTCAAACACACACACACACAAATAGATGATATTGAGAGAACTCGACTGTATTTATCTTCATTTTTCCAGAATTGCGTTACCTTCGTGCGACTGACAATTTTCTTGATCGGCTCTAATCTCCCTCTGGAATAATAACTAAAGACACGCTGTCCTGCTTTTTTTTCGGCTCGCTTTATATCGCGAGGAAGAGGGTCGCTTCCCGTTGCGTGACCGGAGAAATAGTGATACAGTTATAAGATTAATACGCAACACGTATGAGTCTCCGCGATAACAATTGACGATTATGAAATTCCTAATATTATTGCATTAAACCTAGTTTATATCGCGCATGATACGCGCAAGGATGCCAATGCCGGTGTTTTAGCGTAATGCAGACATTGAGTAACGCTTCTGAGACGAAACTAATCGAGTTCACACCTCGAGGAAGTCGCGCAACACAATATCCTGAAGTCTGCAGCAAGGGAAGAAGAAGCGAATATAAAATTTTTTATTCCCTTGCCTTCGTACAACGGAGACGGAAAAAAAGCGAACAACTGGAATTTATTTGGCGCAATAGCGTCGCGATGTGGTAATTATAAAGCAGGACAATGGTTTTACTCGGAAATCGCTATAATTTTATCTTCTTCTGACAACTCGATTATCACTCAGTATACGAGTTACGAGCGTTTAAGTGAGAATGTTGTGTTACGTCATGTGGCTACTGTTTACCATTTATCTGTTGATTAATCTTTTTTCCTCGTCGAGGTGCGCGCGTTGAAAACTTTTAATTACGAGAATACCACGTTTATATTGCGTTATGCAGCATCGCTCGCTAATCAATTGCATTTCGCTCCTCGCGCGTTATTTTATTCTCTCTCGACTTTCCGTTCGAGACCGCAAGAATGCTCGTAGGCCCGTTCAGAATGACGGATGCATTACACGGTGCATTTGCGCAAGTGCTTTCAGCGTAATTAATCGTAGGTAGCTGCAGGGTACGTAACCCGATTTTAGATACTAAAGTCGACTGTACGAACATACGCGAGGGTTCTCGTAATGCAACCTTCGCGAGCATATGAAATGCGATTTACTGTGATCATAACTCGCTTTATATGACCCGCTTTATTTCCGCTAAACAGCTCCGCGAATTTTTGGCCACGCTATAACGCGGCGTTGCATTATGTATTACATTAGATATCCCGGCTGTTTAATTAAATTCTGGTATAGTAGGCCGGTTAATGGTCGTCGACTTCCATCGGCAGAAATATTAAATTTCCCACGATCATACAATAATTACGTCGCTAACCGCACGTGCGGCTAGGATATTGCGCCAACTCGAGCGAAGATAAAATCTCTCTTCCCACAAAATCGTGTCTCCGTCCCTTTCTCCTTCTTTTTATGGCTCGGAACCTCGCTTCTTCATACAGAATATCGCCCGTGTACGCGCTTTTTTGTAGATCGCGCTGTCTCGCGCGCGAACGGCCAGAAATATATCACGGAAGAAAGCTTTAACGAGCAGGTATACGCGCCGGTCGCTGTTGTCGTCTCACGCGAGCGCTTTCTATCCCAACGCCGACGCGTCGATGGATGCAAATTGCCGTCCGACGCGTAATGAGATACGCGATCACATTGGATATTAGGTAATAGTGGCGAAGCCCCTGGTCGCTCGGGAGGATGCTTCTCGACCCTGATGAGGCTAATAAAAGTGACATCATTACCCGCCCCGGCGGCGCAACGAGCCTTTAACCTACACGTTGACCGTTCTGATTTTCATAATCTGGTTCACGACATCGTCGCACGTTGCCTGCTCGTCTCTCACGCCTCTCCGCGCTTCTCTTTATTCTCTCTCTCTCTCTCTCTCTCTCTCTCTCTCTCTCTCTCTCTCTCTCTCTCTCTCTCTCTCTCTCTCTCTCTCTCTCGCGGCCTCGGTCGCGCAGCGTGCGCGTCCTCCTCCTTCAGCGCGAGGAGTCGGCCGAGTACGAAGGACGCTAGAATTCCTTCATTTTTCCCATCAACATTGCCGGGGTATCTAGGTTCCTACGTAACTGGAAGGATATTAATACTCCTGGTATCCTTGAAAGTGTGCAGCGCGCGATCTTGTAAAATTTTTCTATGGCGTGTCTGTGGCGTCGCACACACTTCATGTGACTTCAAAGTTCCATTTCTTTACGAATAAATGTCACGTTCGTGCAACGTGCCGTGCTCGGGATAAGAATTTGCCGCGTTTGACGTATTATTGTCCAATCTTTACGACTCTTCGAACGACTGTGTTTCCTTCGTAATAGAGAGAGAGAGGGGGGGAGGGAGGGAGAGAGAGAGAGTACCACGCGATCACGGAACATCGTGATCGTCGAAGAGAGAGAATGAAACGTCTACCCCGTCTCTTCTAATCGTCAGGACCTCGGCTTCGTCGTAAAGTAGAGCGATGGAGGTCAGACTGTAATAGTACGAACGCCACGTCAGCGACGAGAATCTCTCGCTACAACCCGCGGTTGTATCTCCCGATGTACCCAGCGTGATACGCGCGATTGTCCTTTTTGGGCCCGCGCGCGGCTCCTTTTATTCGTCTCGTCGTCGCGTCTCTCCGAGTAACGGTCGTACGGAGTACGGTCGCGGAAAACAGTAATAATGGATTCTTTCACAGGCCGCGTGCGCTTTTTTTTTCTTTTTTCTTTTTTCTTGATGCCAAGATTATTACATACTGGATAAACACGCGAGATAAATCAGCTTCTTGTACCGTTCGAGATTCATCGCGCGCGTAAGCCACTGCGCCGGATCGGTTAATTAAATTCCCGCTGAGGAGAAACTCGGCAGCGAGAAGCGCACGTCGAAGAATTCAACGAGGCAATCTAGAAGCGGTGCCTTCTCGCTGTCTAATTTTCGCGGTACGTACGTGGAGAAACGACGAAGCCAAGGAGGATATCCTGCGACAATCGAGAGTAATCAACGTGCTCAAGACAACGATCATAAAGAGAGAAAGAGACAGCAAGCGAGCAAGCCTCACCAGGCGCAGAATCGCGGTTAAGTTTCCGATGCACGATGCCCCACGGGGGCAATCGAGCGACGGAAATGAGTTTAACAATGACTGTAGAGACGACGACGGTCTCCGGTTGCATAGGTGGCCTTGACAGTGACAGATAGGTATACTGTGCGCGGTCGCGAGCGTCACT